TTTAATCTCTTCTTATAAGTCTATTCAGATTTTCTGTTTCCTCTTGAGTCAGTTTTGTAGTTTGTGTCTTTCTAGGAATTTATCCACTTCACCTAGGTTATCTAATTTGTTGACATGCAATTGTTTGTAGTATTCCCTTATAATTCTATGAATTTGGATTTTAAATGGAGGTATCAGAGTTAACTCATGGTTTCTAGCATATAGAAATAGATATAGGTGTATGTGTGTCCTCATGTGCACCTGCATATACATACATACACTTCCTGACTCTATCAGCTGAGAGGACATAGAAAGAATGACATCCCACTACCCACAAGAGCACGTAGTACCCAGATCTTGGCTTTTAAATACCATCGTCCACTAAAAGAAACCAGATGCTGGGGCAGGGAAAGTACAAGGTGAGCCTAGAACATCATATTGTGCCAGAAAATATAGAAATTCTTAAAAAATCATGGAGATGTTTTAAAAGGACACCAGAACCAGCTGGAAGGGCTCACATTGGCCAAATCTAAGACAATTTGAGCATCAAAAGGAATAATGATATTTATGGATTATAACCCATTAATAAAAATAGAAATCTATGAGATCATACAGATATAAATAGATAGATGAATTAAAAAATAAACGGAGTTAAGGGAAATCTCTACCTTATAGTAGAATGCCAACTAATAAATGTAGAAGGAATAATGGAATTAGAAAATCACCGTTTGGTGACCATGATAGTAATAAAATTCAAGCAAGATGCATCAACTTATGCTAAAATTAGTAGGAGAAAATTTTATAATGTCATAATTTAAAAGTTTAATGTCATATAAGATATTATGTCATAATATACAATGTCAAAGTATTTACCTACAAAATGCTTATTAATTAATAAGTTTTAAGAAGACTTATAAGTTAACTTTATGGTGGACAAAACTATCAGACACCATCTTAACCAATTATCAAAATTAACATTGTTGGTAATGAGACTAGTAGAGATATCAACAGTATGTGCCTCCTGACATGATGCACTAAGAAGAATATAGCTTCAGTTCTGTGGGATTCTTGCCAAAAATGCATAATTTGAACCCATCATGAGGAAACATCAGACAAACCCTAACTGAAGGGCATTCTACAAAGTAAACGCATCTACGTTGTGTTCTTAAAATATGTCAACGTCATAAAAGACAAGGAAAGACTGAAGAACTATTCATGAGTGAAGGGCACTAAAGAGACATGGCAATTAAATGCAGCACATGATCCTGAATTGTTTCCTGGACCTAGAAAGGACATTATTGGGACAATTGGTGAAATATGAATGTTTTGTGAGTTAGATGGTAAAATGGTGTCAATGTTAATTTCCTGATTTTGATGGATATCCTGTGCCTATGTAGATTTGTCCTTGTTTTTAGGAAATACACAATGAAGTCTTTAGAGGTAATGGAACATCGTGAAATATACAATGAAGTCTTTAGAGGTAATGGAACATCATGTCTGCAATATACTTTTAAGTGGTTCCAAGAAGTAATATAGAGAGAATATATGTAATATTATGTATTATGTAACATATGTAGAAAGAGAGAGAGAATTGGATAAGGCAAATGAAGTAAAAGTTAACATTTGTGGAATCTGGGTGAAAGGAGTATGGGAATTCTTTGTATTATTCTTGCAATTCTTCTGTAATTTTGAAATTATTTAAAAATAAAAACTTATTAAAAGAATCAAGGGACCGGCTCTGTGGCGCAAGCGGTTAAGTGCGTGCGCTCCACTGTGGCAGCCCGGGGTTCGCTGGTTCGGATCCCAGGCGCGCACTGACGCACTGCTTGGCAAGCCATGCTGTGGCGGCATCCCATATAAAGTGGAGGAAGATGGGCACGGATGTTAGCCCAGGGCCAGTCTTCCTCAGCAAAAAAAAAAGAAAAGAAAGAAAAAAAAAGAGGAAGATTGGCAGATGTTAGCACAGGGCTGATCTCCTCACAAAAAAAAAAGGAATCAAAAGAAAATGATGAAGAAGAAAGGAAAGAGACGTTACTTATTGCTTTCCCTTTGGGGACAAAATAATTAGAATATGTTATCACACATGAGGATAAACCATAGCGGCAATTACAGCTAACCTGCCTAGCTGGGCTGAAACTAGTTGATTCGTGTGAGATAGATGGGTAAAAAGAGGTCTCAAGACGGGAAACGGAGCAGCTGGCCCAAGACATGGGAGTTTTACTTGGTTTTTAAAGGTGAAATCATTTGTGTGCAGGGACTGTGTTGGGGAAGGGGAGAGAGTGGTGACTGGAAGAAAGGAAGAGGATGACTTGCCTGAATCAGGAATTGCTGGAGTCAGGCTTGTCTTCTTGAGACCAAGTGGATTGCGTAGATAGAAATCCAAACACCTCTAGATAATATAGAACTCTCTCTTTTGGGAAGACTGTAGCATTCACTGAAGAAAAGGTCTTTCAGTATCATTTAATCAAACAAGACTATTCAGAGAAAATCATTGTGTGGAAAGTCTTAGCCCCAAAGGAAGATATCCAAGACATAGCTGACTTAATCTGAGCCTAAAGGGTTAAAGATTCCCTGGAGAAAGGAATAGAATCAGACTGGTCAAATCTCTGAGTTCCATGGACTCACCTCACCTCGACATTTCTCCTTCACATGCATAATTTTAAGCTGCAATGATTATACATGCTGTTACCTGGTCTATTTTCATCTTCTCTCATTCCTAATCCTGACGTAAAGGTGTCCTTCAAAATTAGAGAGTAAGGAATCTTCTTGCCTAGAAGGACCAAGGCAAGACACAGACTGGGAGAAAAAAATATGCAAAACATACACCCAACAAAAGACTTATATTCAGAATATATAAAGAACTCTTATAATTCAATAGTGACAAGATTTTAAAACTCTAACAATAAAAAATGAGCAAAAGATTTGAACACATGCTTTATTTAAGAAGGTATATGGATGGTAAAATAAGCACATAAAAATATTCAGCATCCTTAGTTGTTAGGAAAATTGCAAATTAATACACTTAAGACCACTACATACCTATTAGTGTTACTGAACCAGGTTTATTTTGCCCTCTGCACGAAATGCCAATCACTGAAATGACGAGTTTGCAGGAGCAAAACGGTTTATTCACAAGGCAGCCAAGTGAGGAGACAGGAGAATAAATTTCAAATCCACCTCTCTGAAAATGGGGATTAGGGATATTTATGGGATAGAGGGCAGGATGGTCTGAAGTGTAGGAATAGATGATTGGAGGTAAGGAGAAGTGAGGTAATTGATGATCTGAGTCAAGCTTCATGGCTCTTTGTAGGACACACGTTCACAAAATGGAGGCATTAGCATGATCTGAGGGTGGAGTTTTCGGCCCCCTGACATCAAAGAGTCACCTCTAGGTCCTCTGCACAGGCCCAGTTGATGAGTCGGTGGTCTGAACTGCCCCGAACTGGACAAGGAGTTGACTCTCAGTTCCTGAAAAACTTAAGCACCTGTTACCATGGTGACCTATAGAGATCGATAGAGTGGGCTTTAGTAATGCATTATCTACTTTTGCAAACAGACAACTGACTGAGTACAGTTAAAGCAAGTTGGCCCCTGGTTTCACTAGGATGGCTAAAATTAAAAAGATCAAGTATTGGTGAGGATGTAGAAAAACTAGAAGTCTCAGACACTGCTGGTGGGTATAAAATGGTATAATCACTTTGGAAAACAGTTTGGCAGTTTTTTTAAAAAGTTAAATATACATGTATCTTATGGCCCAGCCATTTCACTCCTACGTATTTACCCAGAGAAATGAAAACATATGTCCACGCAAAGACATACACAGATATTCATAGCAGCTCTATTTATAATAGCCAAAAACTGGAAATAATCCAAGTGTCAACGGTAAATGGATAAATAAATTATGTTATATCCATACAACAGAGTATTACCAGCAATGAAAAGGAATTGTTGATGTACAAAACACTGTGGATGAATGTCAAAATAATTATGCTGAGTGAAAGAAGTCAGGCCAAAAAAACCCAGGTATATAATAGATGATTCAATCTATATAATTCTAGAAAATGCAAACCAATCCATGGGGATGTAAAGCATATTGGTGGTTGCCTGGGAACAAAGGTGGGGTTGGAACTAGAATGGAGTGGAGGAATGGATTACAAAGGGGTACAAGGAAACTTGGTGGTGATGGATATGTTTATTATCTTAGTTGTAGTGATGGTTTCACAGGTATACAGACATGTCAAAATTAATCAAATTTTACACTTTAAATATGTTCAGTGTATTACATGTCAATTATACTTCCATAAAGCTGTTTTTAAAAAATCTTACTTGTCATCATTTCCAAAGGATCGATTAGAGAGGTGGTAGTGGTAGCTGAGGTGGTTCGAGACTAAAGTTCTGAGCTCTCTTTCTTCCAGGGAAGGAGCTATATTTTGAGCTCTGGGTTTTATGGTTCCCATGAGATCAGAGCTGACTGTGGGCTACTGAACACCTATATACTCAAAAGTGTGCTTTAGTTTCCTCTGCTTAGATCAAGCAGAGGCTCCATTCCAAGGAGACAGCTTTGGGGACAATTTCTCCAAACCACAAAAACAAATGAGATGACTCTTGGTAATCCAGAAAGGTTTCTATCCTTTTCCTTACTGGGGATTTGGAGACAGTTGTGGGCACAATCCTTGTCTAGGTCCAAAATTATCTAATAGGAAAAAAAATAGAAGACTGGATTAAAAATAAAAGTCAAGTAGACTAAAAGTCCTATTTGATATTTGTATAAAGAGAATGTACTTTCTAGACAGGAGATTGAGTCATATGCTGGAGTGATATTCCATGTCCAGGAGAGAAATGAAATGATAAAGAGGTCCATAAGTACACATTTCATATACTTCCTGAATTTCCTCTTAAACACTTGACTCAAGATAGATTCAAGCCCTCTGGACGAGATGTGATGAGAGACCTGATGGGTTAAAAAAATTACACGTAAAAATAATCTCCACTTACCCTCTCCTGGGACTTTAGGTAAGAATATAAAAACTCAACCACCCTTGAGCAGGATGAGCCGGGAAGAATTGGAGGACAGTTTGTTTCGTCTTCGTGAAGAGCACTTGTTGGTGAAGGAGCTTTCTTGGAAGCAACAGGATGAGATCAAAAGGTACCTAGAGTTCTCCTTAAGTCTTTAAAAGTTGAATCTACACCAAGCCTATACTACACTAAACCAAAAGGAATACATTTTCCTGAGATGTCTAAGCCAGAAAACAATTCAAATGTCAAGGATGGTTAACTCCAAAAATAATTTTTCAAGCAATATTACTTTATTCTGTTTTCTTGCCAAACACATCAATAGACTGTGGCCATAGGCCACAGAACATCATCACAGCTATTTCAATCCATAGAGCAAGAGACTGGGCAGGCTCCTGCCCTGGTCACAAAAGAGAGAATGGGGATGGGAGGAATGGCCAAAATCTCAGAGGAACAAAGGCTGCAGGGGCAAGTAAGAGAAGGGGTTTTTATTTACAAAACAAAACCAAAAATCCTATTGATCATTTACTATATGTGGGCATGTAATAAGTGCTTTGTATGTATTAACTAACTTAATATTATAAATACCATTAACTCTCTTAATACTATGAAAGAAGTATTAATAAGAGGACAGGAAAGCACAAAGAGGTTAAGTAACTTGCCCAAGGTCACAGCTAGTGAGTGAGTGGCAGAGCCAGAAGCCCTTAACTCCAAAATATGCTATATAAAGTGACCTTAGGGATTGGCTTTCAAAGGTGTATCTTTTGGGTGCAGACCTGAAGAGGAATCTGAGATGGAGTAGATAAACAGATGGGAAGAATGGGAATTCTGAAAGTCCAGGGTTTATCTCTAGGACATATTTTGCAGATATTGCTGTCAATGCCTTCCAGCCAAAGACCACAAGGAACATACCTATAGTTGAGCAAGTTGGGTTTATTGTAGTTGGCAGCTTGAGAAAATGCCCACCATGGGAAACCAAAGGCATCTCAGTAAGAATGTATTAGAAAGAACCTATTATAGGTTTTGGGCTTCCTTTGGGTGATTTGGGGGAAGGTCCAAGGGAACAGGATTTTGATCCAGATTTGGTACTGTCAGAAAGCCGGGACAATTCTATGTTTGGGTATCTCAATAAATCTTACTTACTGGGAGGATAGACTAGAGTGAGGCTAAAGTTTAACTGGTAAAAAAGTAGCAGTCACTCATATTAGCCAGGAGAGGAAGATGTTTAGTATTTTGTGGGTGGCACAATGACCTTGTTTTTGTCTGTGCTTAGACAAAATTATGCAGTGGCCTTGTTTTGTATCACTCTATCATGGTCTTGGAATGGCCTTGTCTGATATTGGTGTTCCATGAGATTATGTCCAACAGGACAGTGTGAGCTCCAGGCCATCTTCAAACAGCACTGAGGACTAGCTATGTCAGACCAATTCCCTGATGTCAAGAGCAGCTTTTGCTTTCTAATTGGTAATCCCCAGGAGGGTTCAGAGCTTCATTTAGAATCTACAGGATTGCAGGCCTCCACTGTACGCCAGTACTCTTCAGAGTTGGAGATTCTTTTATATTGTGGAGAACTTGAGAATCCGGTGAAGTCAGAAGGTTACATGGGCCAAAAAGTCTTGCTTCTTGGTTGATAACCAAAAAGCACTTAAGATTATAGATATTAAGTGGCTAAATTGGATTCCATCCTCTCTGACTTTGGGCAAGTTACCTAGCTATTTTATGCCTTGATTTCTTTATCTGGATATAATGATATGTAATAATAATAGCTAATTCCTACAGTGCTTATAATGCACCATCACTGTTCAAAGCACTTTTACATATATTAACTTATTTAATCCTCATAAAAATCTAATGACGCAGGTACTATTTTTATCTTTATTCATAGAAGAGGAAACTGAGCACAAAGGTTAATGCCATGCTGAAGGCCACATAGTCAGTAAATTCAGAACTGGCAGGCAGTGGGACCACAGAATCTGATGGTAATGGTAAAAAGCACGATTTTAGGTCAAGATAACAAATAATGGTTGACTATCCGTTATAGGTAAGGCTCGATGTATACAAGGAGCTGTAGAGGAGTAATCTTTCAAGTTGGGCACATATACAGGGGTGTGCAGATAATTGGGATGGGAGAAGTAAATATTAACATTTCTACTTATATTATCTCCTCTTTAAAAATTAGTATTTTTGGTATGTTTTATAATGACTATAATTTATTAGTACACAAGTAAATGTATATAATTTAAAAACAAATATACAAATATATATTGAGGAGTGCCCCAACATGTTTTACTAAGATGTGTATGTGATCACTGCAACAGAATGACAAGGACAGACACCACGATGTCCCTGCCCTGAAAGAGTTACAGTGTATTGGGGGCAGAAAATTAATTTTTTTGAAGTGTAAATAATGGACTACAGTAGATAAATTATATCAGAGATCAATTCAGATTATTTGCCACCAAATAAACTGTAGAAATAATAACTGTCATAGAAGGAGAAGCCACGTACCACTAGCTTTATTTTTGTGCATAGGATGAGGACAGCCTTGCTCCGGTTGACCGCTGCGGGCCGGTACCCTAGGGCAGAGGTGGCGGCGGTGGAGCAGCTCTCAGAGCCCACAAGGCGGCCTTGGAATGAAGGGTCTCGGCAGCGCCCCACCAAGCACCAGCGCCCCCTAGTGCACGGGCTGCAGCTGCAGTTCCAGCGCGGCGGTCCCCCTCTCCCCCGCCGCCCCCAGTCTCAAGTCCCCATGGGACACAGACAGCTCCACACTGCCGGTGCGCGGATGTCTGAGAAACCCAAAACGGGTGAGGTTCAAGGCCAAGTCCCCACAGGGCTAAAACACTAGGAAGGAGTTATTTGCCAGCCACATTTTTCACCTCGTTGCTTTATTCCGCCCACAACTCCATTGTGTTCTTTTGTTCTCTTGTTCTCATTCCTTTCTTTTATTTATTTATTTATTTATTTTTTTCCCCAAAGCCCCAGTAGATAGTTGTATGTCACAGCTGCACATCCTTCTAGTTGCTGTATGTGGGACACGGCCTCAGCATAGCCAGAGAAGCGGTGCGTCGGTGCACGCCCGGGATCCGAACCCAGGCCACCAGCAGCAGAGCGCATGCACTTAACCGCTAAGCCACGGGGCCGGCCCTCTCATTCCTTTCTACCTCCCTAAAATCTTTTTTTCCTGAGTGGAATGTCAGGTTGAAAATTCTCAGTTCACCATGAAGTACCTTTGAGGGAGAATAAGACAACGGAAACCACAACTTTGCTGGTCAAGTTCTGCAGCAAGTCTAGAAAACAGATGCAAGATAATATTGAAATCTTGCTCAGGTGTAAGCGGCAGTGCTCTTAAGACAGGTCCCTCTACTGGGACTCTGGGACTCTGGACTAAGTGGCTGTGCCTCTAAAACTGGGATTCTTAGCCTTTTTGGTGGAGTGGACTCCTTTCAAACCATGAGCAAAGCTAGGCCGCCTCCCAAGAAAAGTGCACATACACATAGACAAAACTTTGTATACAATTCTATGGGTTCAGAGATTCTCAATGCCCATTCCTGAAGTCCAGGCCTAGAGGTCAGGCTGTAAGTGAGGAGTTGCAATTTCTTCTCTTCCTGTATTCCAAGTGGCTAAGAGTCTCTGGCTGCTATGAAACCCAACACTGAATTAAATAAAGTGCTGTGTGTAAATTTCCTTCACCTAGCCTACTTATCCCTGGTTTAGGTCCATGGGAATGAGGTATCTTTACCCTGGGGATTCAATGTTAGGTTTTGTTTAGTATGGTCCTATAATTTCAAGCTCCCTATTCGAGCCAACCAAATCTTGCAAAAAGAGCTAGGAATAGAAAAATTAAAAAAGTCTAAATTTCAGTTGGGTTTAACTTCAGCATTATTGAGTACCAATTATATACCAGATATATAGAGAGATAAAGATGCCTTAGAGTTAGACACATAGTCCCTGCCCCAGACAAGCTTGCACCTTTCTTCTTCCCATTTATACTCACTTGGGAGTCTGTAGTCCCGCTGACTTATTAGATCTGTAGTTGCGTATCTATGCAAGAGTAAAGACTAAGAACTTCTCTGGGATCAGTGGTCATATAGGGATTTCCCCCAGGTCTCAAGGCTCCCTACTTCCAGCACTTGGCGTTCCAGTTCTAACACTTGATGTTCTGGAGAAATCTGTTGCCAGAGTCTGCTTCTTCTGTCTAAACTTTCAGAGTCAAGGGGCAGAGTGAGCTACACAGCCCCTCCCACTTTCAAGGAGCATGTGACAAATGAAAAAACCAGAGGTGAAATATCCAATGAACCCAGCGAACTGTGAGTTCTTTTCATTTATCCTGCACTGTTACTTTTTTGGCTTTAATTGGAAATATATCATTCAGGGAACAAGTGAATGTTGGCATTTTTGAATCTTTCCAACATAATCAGAGAAGATGAAAGTCAACTCTAGGTCAAATTCCAACTTCATTGCTTAAAAATGGAAAATAAACACCTCTTTGTCTTCCAAAGAAAGGAAAATAAAGGCCCTTTCCTTAATCGAAGGTATTCTCTCTCTTTCTCTTTATATTTTTATCCCTTAGGTCATAATTCATCTATATTTCTGTTTGACACTTGAAAGCAATATTTTGTAAGATTATCCTCCACACACCAAGATTACTAACTCCTCTAATTTCTTTTTATATATGTGAGAGCCCAATTCTAAACCCCTTTAACAGCAGTTTCCATGTCTTCTTTTGTGTTTAATGTTTCTAATTCTAACAGTATAATTTCTTTCAGCAAAGTCATAATTATGACTAAACTCATTGGTCTATGTCTGCCTAACAGTGCCCACATTATGACCAGCAATACTATGCAAGTGGAAGAACCGCTTAAGTCTCCTGAGAAAATATGGTCCAAAGATGAAAATTTTGAACAGAGAAGCTCTTTGGAGTGTGCTCAGAAGGCCACAGAGCTTCGGTAAGAGTGTGGCATTCCCTGCCTCAAGCCATAATGAAATGAAAAAGTGATTCTTATTTGCACCCTTCCACCATCTCAGAGGAAAAGAGAATGCTTGGGATTCAATTCAATCTGAGAAGTAGACTTGGAGTCCCTAAGTGAAGGAATCCAATCTGAATTGGATTCAGATCTGAATTGGGTTAAGAAATGGATTAACCTAAAGAGGATGCTTATGTATCATAGAAGATTTGCTGCTTCACTTCATACAGGGAAAACTGTGTCATCTTCATCACTGGGTAGGGGTTTTTAGGCCTCGCTGTACATCAGTCCCTGTAGAACTTTTTAAAAAATAGATTTTATTTTTTAGAGCAATTTTGGGTTCTTAGCAAAATTGAGCATAAAGTACAGAGATTTCCCATATACTCCCTTTTCCCTACACACGCATAGCCTCCCCCTCTATCAACATCCCACACCACAGTGGTACATTTGTTTCAATGGATGAACCTACGTTGACACATCATTATCACCCAAACATCATAGTTTACCTTAGGTTCACTCTTGGTTTTGTACATTCTATGGGTTTGGACAATGTATAATGATGTGTATCCATCATTACAGTATCGTACAGAATAGTTTCACTGCCCTAAAAATCCTCTGTGCTCTGCCTATTCATCCCTCTCTACCCCATTAACCCTGACACCACTGATCTTTTTACTGTCTCCATGATTTTGCCTTTTTCCAGAATGTCATATGGTTGGAATCATGCAGTCTATAGTCTTTTAAGATTGGATCCCTTCACTTAGCAATATGCATTTAAGTTTCCTCCATGTCTTTTTATGGCTTGATAGCTCATTTCTTTTTAGCACTAAATAATGTTCCATTATCTGGATGTACCACAGTTTATTTATCCATTCACCTACTGAAGGACATCTTGGTAGCTTTCAAGTTTTGCAATTATGAATGCAACTCCTGTAAACATCCATGTGCAGGTTTTTGTGTGGACATAAGTTTTCAACCTGGAGATATTTAAAACCACAGATGCCTGGGCCCCACCCCAGAGATTCCCTTTCAATTATTTGGGTGTGGAGTTCAGGTAGTGTAATTTTAAAGATCTCTCCAGATGATTCTAATAAGCAGCTAAGACTGGGAATCACTGAGATAGAATCTAGTGAACCCAAATCCTCCCCAACCTTTCAAATGATAAGGAAAACATGATCTCCTAGGTTCAGAAATAATAATCTTCCTTTGTGTCCGCTGTCCATATCCACACCTCCCTGGTTCCTCTAAGGAAACCAGTCTCAGACCTAGCTGGACTTTGCTAGGTTTATGGGAAACTGAGCCCATAATTTAAAAAATAGCTACTGTGTTTTCTCAGAACCTAGAGTTTAAGTTTGGTGGTCTCTCTATCAAATCTCAGCTGGTGTGAGGGGAAATGAAAGAAAGGAGATTATTTACCAGAGTGTACATACACTTCCTACTTCTGGTCTGTTGTGGGGGAGATAGGAAGGCAAGAGGCAAGAGGAAGATGTTCTTATTGGTGCAGAGTCAGGGGGAAAAGGTGCTTAACTCTACCCATTTGCAGACAGAATATTTGATCCCTGTCTTCTTTCTCCAGAGCTTCTATTAAGGAGAATATAGAGCTGATTCGACTTAAGAAGGTCTTACATGAAAGGAATACCTTATTGGTAGTGACAAAAACACAATTAACAGAAGTTCAAGAGGTGAGTTGCATGGGGCCAGCCCCGTGGCATAGCGGTTAAGTGCACGCACTCCTCTTCTGGTGGCCCGGTTCAGATCCCGGGCGCACACCGATGCCCCCCTTGTCAGGCCATGCTGTTGCGGCCTCCCATGTAAAGTGGAGGAAGGTGGGCACAGATGTTAGCCCAGGGCCAGTCTTCCTCAGCAAAAAGAGGAGGATTGGCATGGATGTTAGCTCAGGGCTGATCTTCCTCACAAAAAAAAAAAAAAAAAAAAAGAGGTGAGTTGCCATCATCAGCAGTGCTTTTTTGGGGAAAAAAAACAATTAATTAAGAGAATAGTAGGGCCGGCCCCGTGGCTTGGCGGTTAAGTGCGTGCGCTCCGCTGCTGGTGGCCCGGGTTCGGATCCCGGGCGTGCACCGAGGCACCGCTTCTCCGGCCATGCTGAGGCCGAGTCCCACATACAGCAACTAGAAGGATGTGCAGCTACGACATACAACTATATACTGGGGCTTTTGGGGGGAAAAAATCAATAAATAAAATCTTTAAAAAAAAAAAAAAGAGAATAGTATTATTTTCTCCATTTCATGCTTCGGAAACCACAGTTGAGAGAAACTAGGTTACTTGTCTAAGGTCACACGTTTTATAGGTGATATTCAAATTCAAGCCTTGAAACTCAGAGTTCATTCTTTTTCCAGTACTTCTCATTATCTCTCTATTAGGAAGAAGGCTCAAGCCCTGCCTGCTAAGGTGGAATTAAGTGGGGTTGACTTGTCTCAGGGTTAAGGGCCCAGCCAAGGGCCACAATCAGAATATGATTAAGTTGGGAAGCCAAGAGCAGTCACAGGGGAAGGGAAGGAAACCAGCCTTTACTGAGCACTCTCTATGTGCTGGGCTCTGTCCTAGAGATTTACAGTCATGTTCTCATTTAAGCCTGACAACAACCCTCAAGGTAAGGACATTGTTTAACAGGTGAGAGAACTGAGCCTCAAAGAAGCTAAGTAACTTGCTCAAGTCATAAAAATAGTAAGGGGCAGAGCAGGCTTTAAGTCCAGGTTTATCTGGCACTGAGGCTCACACTCTTTTCTCATTACCACACAATAGAAACTCATACCTGAATGGTGAAAATAGGACAGCAAGGGTCTAAGTGATAGATCGGCGCTGTTCTTTTATTGAATAAATAGTTATTGATTCCCAGGAACTGTGCAAAGCACTGGCATACAAAGATTACAAAGATAAGTAAGACAGCTCTTGCCTTCAAGGGACTTTCAGGAGTGAAAGAACAAGGAGTAAACAAGTACAACTATCCACATACAGGGTATGGGGGGACACAAACGAGAGTAGTCAGATCCACCAGAGAATGGGGTGCAGGATCCAAAAAGGATTCATAAAGCAGTATATTCATGAGCCGAATACTGGGATACTGAAAGATCAGCGGGTGCTAATGATGTGCAAGAAAGGGGAGGGCTTTCCAGGGGAGGAGAGGCGTAGGCCAAGGCACAGAGGTGAGAAACCTCAGGGACCAGGTCATGGAGCCTAGTCAGGAATTTAGAGTTTATCTTATAGAGAGTGGAGAGCTGCAGAAAGATGTTAAGCAAGTTGATAACACGATCAATTTTTTTCCCCAAAGAGATCACTTTACCTTTTTTCAATGTCTGAAATATTTTTGAAATACATTTTAATAAAGAAATAATACTTCTGAAAAAGTATTATAAAGCACTAGTGATTATTAATTCCGGGTAGTAGGTTTATAGATGACTGTTATTATAGTCTTTATACTTTTCTGAAATTTTCAACTTCTCAAAATTTACAAAACTGCAAGGAAAAATCATCTGGCAGCAGAGTGAATGATAGGTTGGCTGGTACAAGACTAGAGGCAAGAAATCATATAAAAGACTAGTGCAGGGGTCCAAGGGAGATGCATGAGGGTCCCAACCAAGGCAATGAGAGAGGCCCACAGAGGAAGGACTGTATTGGAAGAGGTCCAGGAAGTAGAAGAGTAGACTTCATCACCAAAGGGGAGTGAGTGAGGGAAAAGGAAAAATGAAAGATGACTCCTGAGTCTCTAGCTTGGATGATTAGATGATGGTGGTGCCATTCACTGAGATTGGCTACAGTTAGCGCTGCCGTTGGTACATCTGTTCTAATAGGGACTAAAGGCATCTTTACAAGGCCAACCTCCAAACCTCTGTTTTGTAGAGAACTATGCATATGCTTGTATTCTTTTGATTTGGTTAATTTTGGTAGCATTTAAAAGATGTGGAAATATGGGAAGGAAGATAATTTTAAGTTGTATGGGTACATTGCTATATTTGTGGGATTAGATTTTTTTTAATCCATCTACTCCTCCATTACATTAAAGGAAAATACGAAGAAAGCCACTCTAAATTAAATGTTCTTAACCATGTTAGTGGTAGTGGTAGAGATGACCTAAAATGGTGAATAGTTGCCCACAATTTTTTTACAATTTATTTTTCTTTAGCAATTTACCTTTCTAATCATGCTTTCTTCACATATACTAAAATAAATTTGCATTCTCTTAATCCCTTAGCAGTACAATATGATGGTCAACAGCACAGACTCTAGAGTCAGACAGGCTGAGGTAAAATTCTGTCTCTGCCTCTTGACAGCTATGTGATTCTGAGCAAGTGACTTAGCTCTCTGAGCTTTGGGTCTCTCATTTTAAAGTTTAGGTGATAATACCTACCTCTCAGATTTGCTGTGGATTAAGTGAAATAATATATGCGAAGTAAATATAATGATCACAATGTAACAGGTAATGAATCACATGGTAACATATAATGCATAGTAGCTGCTCAGCCAATAGTAGCTGTCATTGTTAGTTTTGTTATTGTTTTTTCTATTTCTAAAACTGGAAAGAGACCTTTCTGAAGCATGCTGAGTAAGAGATGGTGCCTAATCTGAAAATAAATATATTTTTTGGATAATCCACCGACTGCAATGCAAAAGTGAATAAATGACTCTTCATCCTTTTTAAAGAAATGTGTCATCTATTATGTTCACAGACTACCTGGCAAGCTAGGGCAGGAGAAAAGTAGCAGCATTTTTTTAGTAAATAGGTACACAAATTGACTTGATTCATGGGAATTTTTTATAACGTCTTTTAAAATAAATCTTTAAACATTTGTATTACAGAGATAAGCATCAAAGTAAACATCAAGCTGATATATCAATAGAATAATACTTATTTCTTTCTTTCAGGCCTATGAAACTCTGCTCCAGAAGGTACTTAAAAATGATTCCTTGAATCTCTGTTTCTTAGTAATCAAACCCAAGAAATCTGCGTTAATTTTCCAGTAACATAACACCAGAATTTAGCCAACTAAATCGAAGTTATTATGTCACATAATTTCTATTAAGACAAATGATACTGTTAATGTTATCAGAAGATGCTTATTGCACTGGTTTCATAAAGATTGCACTATGAGATCTGAGTTGAGAAATACCTGGAACAATATTTTTCAGCCTATTGCCAGAGAGAATTATAGCATTTGCTCAAAAATGCCTAAGACTATTCCTCTAGCATGTGTGAAGTGGTGAGATATAGCAAAGTTGTTGCAAATCTTCTCTGGTATTGTTAAATATTTGGCCCTATTCATCTCTGTGAGTGGGGTGCAGGTGAAGCTGAGAGAATGTCCTTGATTAAGAGTCATTGGGGCAGAGTTCCCAGCATGGCCAGCCACAGCTGTTCCTCACCAGACACGTCCACCAGAAGAATGCACACTTATCTTCTAGAGTTAATATGTCACTTTGCTAGGTGCAGAGGGAGAAGTATATCAACATAAAAAACATTCAAATAGCTTAGGAAAATAAAGGCAGCTGTGAAAGGTGGCACTTTGTTTAGAGCCAGGGTTTAATTTGAACCTTGGGAAAATTAAGTCTCCAATTATGAATTACAGTTTCCCAGAGTGAAAAGTCCTCACTAACAGGGAAACAACACTTCCCAAGAAATGCTAGGGTGAAAAACAAGGTCAATTTACAGTGCAAAGGCAACATGCTGTTAATCAAAGCCATGGTTTTTGATATCCACTAGAGAAGGATGGAGTTGCTGGTATCTTGAGACCACTCCTGCTGAGTGATATGACCATCCCCAGAGCAACTTTTCTTTTGCCCCAGAATCAGGGAGTCCTAAGTACAGCCCATGATGCCCTCCTCAGCCAAGTGGACGAGCTCAGGGCAGAGCTGAAGGAGGAGAGCAAGAAGGCTGTGAGCTTGAAGAGCCAACTGGAAGATGTGTCCATCCTGCAGATAACACTGAAGGAGGTAAATAACAACAATAATTGAAAGATACCATCAATTGTAAGTTATATTCCAATTCAGAGATGTTAAAAAGTGTATCTTAGTAACAATATGGTATTTCATTTTTTCAAATGAGAAAAGTGAGGCTTCAGGTGTTTAAATAACTTGCTCAAGATTACACCATTAGGGGAAAAACTGGGATTTATATTTATGTCTGTTCTCCAAAGTCTTTGCTCTGTTATAATGTTCTACTACTTCCCTAACAGTAGAAACCCAGACATCGTGAAAATTTACTTCAGAGAATCCTCATTAATTCCAATGAAAATCTTCATTCCATCACTCCTTCAATTGGTTCGAATCTTTCTAGTTGAATAGCTCCTCATAGACATGGGAGAGGAGCATAGAAAACCTCCCACCCAGGACCCACCCTGTGACGGAAAAGGGGAGACTTGTGCAAGGCAATAGATTTTAAAGTTTTATCTCAGGTACTCTACTGTCATTCTTAGTTTCAGGAGAGAATTGAAGATTTGGAAAAAGAACGACAATTGCTGAATGACAATTATGACAAACTCTTAGAAAAGTGAGTATCAAGTTTGGGTCCCAGAGCATTGTTTGTTATAAAAGACAATTATAGAAAAGTGCCTTGCAAATTTTAAAAATCATACCTAGGGTTAATAAGGATGTGGGGAAACTGTACTCAACACTAGTGAGAATATAAATCGGCCCAGTCTTTTTGGAAGAGAATTTGACACTATCAAAATGTTAAACATGGATATCTTTTGTGCCAGCAATTCCGTTCTTTGGAATCAAAACTAAAGAAATCCTCTTATGTATGTGCAAAGATATCTGTATAATATGAATGTTAATTACCACCTTGTTAGTAATAGTAAAAGAAATTGGAAACCATCCAAATTTCCTTTGATAAGGGATTGACTAAATAAATCATGTTTAATCCCCACTATGAAGCTGTTAACAATAAGGTAGACCTACATGCCTAAGATATATTGTTAAAAGAAAAATCAACTTACAAAAGGATATGTTAACTCTGACCTAAATGTCATGAGTGTGTGGATCTGCAAACCATTAATGAGATGAAAGGATTGGAGTAGGGCAAAGAGACACCTTCACTTTTATTCTATATACTTTGACATCATTTTAATTTTTTATGACAAGCGTATATTCATGTATTAATTTTAAAATTAAAAATACCTGGAAGTTTAAAAATATTAAACGTGCCTTCTGACTCAGTTAAAGGCAGCAGGAGGTAGATTGGGGAGGTTGTATGGGAGCATCCTGGGAATAACTGATGCTCTTCAGCCCAGTGAAATGAAGTAGTGTGAGAATTATCCGCTTTGAAGACCCCCTGTGACAAATATTACTATTGGCCTCTTCCCTTCATCACTCAGAGCATTATCTTCTTGGATTGTCATGTATGGCCAGGAAATGCCAAGAAATCTTATCACGAGTTTAAGCAAGTTGTTTTTAGACCACATTTATTAAAATTATAAATAGCAAAAAGCCATAAGAAGAAATAATTATTTATCGATGTCACTTCACTTGTGTAAATAATCAAGAACTGGCCATGTGTGTTTTTCACTCAAAATCGGTCTGCCCTCACACCTAGATACAATGGTGTGCAGGATACAGTCATTGAAAAGTTTAGTTCCTGCCCTTCATTGTAGTAAGTTATAATCTAGTTCAAAGGCAAGTATTCTCTAAACTACTCATTGGTGAAGGTAGATAGAGGAATGGAGTAAGGAAAAGAAGAATATTTTGTCCCTTATTTCTAATCCAGCAGACCTCAAAATGTCTTGGTACCTAGTTCCTTGCCTAAAGAAAGCCATTACCTGGAGAAGTTCTTTGGGAAGTAGATATGACTTGGGTTGTTTGCTCAGTGGGATATTTGAGACTTAAACAGAAGTGATACTAATGAACTCCTTGATAGGACCCAAAAGTTCCAAGGCAGTTGGTAAATGACAGTTATAGATAAAGCAGGGCAGAAAAAACATGTAGGGGAATGAATGATGAACTAGGCCCAGAAGATGCTGAAATGTGTAATGACGAGGTCATATCACACACCTTTGAGTATCCATCTCACAACCCCTCCCTCCCTCCTCACTTGCTTCCCATTTTCAGCATGCTGGACAGCAGTAACGAGCCTCCCTGGAGCAATGGGCTCTTAGAAGAACAGCTACAGCAGAAAGTCTCTCAGTTGCAGGATCAGCTGGATGCTGAGCTGGAGGAGAAGAGAGAAGTCTTACTTCAGCTGTCCAGAGAGAGAGGTAGGTCGGGCCTGGAAGAGCTCTCTCAAATAAGGCATCCTCTACGTCTGGTTTGGGAGAAGGGAACTGGGCCGGAATTTCTCCAATCCCCTCACTTGATCCTATGTTTATGGGGGTCATGGATAACTAGAATAAGAACAATGGCAATCAGATCAGATTTACAATCAAGAAAGGATGACGCCTACCTCACACATATACTTTTTCCCATGTAATGACTTTCCATTTGAGAGGATGCCAATTCTTAATTTATTACGTTTTTAAACATTCACTTTGTTTATTGAAAGTATTGAAAATGAATTTCTCTGCCTTTTATTGTTATCAATCATTTTAGAGGTGATTGGGAGCTTTTTTTTTTAGCACCTGATACCTGAAATTGAGAAGCAAGTGAAATTGAGAAGCCAGTGAAATTGAGAAGCAAATTGCTGCTCTTGGTTACCACTACCATTTTCCCCTGTCTTCACTCTTAGATCACTATATCTACTGTCAGTAGATAGTTATTCTGAAGATTTTTAAATACTGTCAAAAAGACCTTTTTCTCACTTCTTCTTGCTAGCCTGGACCTTGATATTTAGTCTTATCAAACTTATATTTCATCAAATTCTAGTATATTCACGTAGGAGAGTAAAGAAAAAGAAATATGACATCAAGAAAAATAGAGGCAAGAACCATAAAAGGATAAAGCTTAGGAGCACATGCTAAGGACCTTGTAGTATGTATGGAGTACAAGTGAAGTCTGGTAAAGACTTTAAGGTAATCTAATCTAACCTCCTCTTGAATGCATGGTAATGAAATGATCACACTAAACACTGATCACCTTTCTTCCCTGAAACACACATACACATGCACACATACATACACACATACACGGAAATGCCCAAATGTCCATCTTCCCTCCCTCAAGGTCAGGGTTGGTGTGGAGGTAGGTGCGCCAGAGAGCCAATAGTATAGAAGTGAGAATGGAGTTGGGGAGATACTGGTTTGGATGGTGCTGTCAAAAAGTTTAGACTGTCCCAGTTAGTCAACTGGCTTTGTTGTTATCATTGTTCTCTCTTCCTCTCTACAAATTGTGCAGGTGTTTTTTGTTTTGCTTTTGGAGTCCATGTGTCAACTCATTTTACTGGGTCAATAAGCTATAACTCCTTTGTAGAAATAAGAGAGAATTGCTTCTCTAAGGGCAAATTTATAAAATGAATTTAACATTAGTGGGAAATTTTAATTCACACTTGGTTCAACTTTAACTATGGTTACTGATAACTACAGAGTTTTAACTTTCTGGATTGTTTTTTCCCCAGCTCAGAACGAGGATCTGAAGCTTGAAGTTGCTAACCTCCTTCAGAGGCATAAACAGGAAGTAGAGATCCTCCAAAACAAAGACACAATATCCCAATCTCCTGACAGGCAATCAGAACCAGCTACTCACCCGCCTCTATTCCGAGAGACCACTCAGATAGAGGTAAGAGCATCTGTAATCAAGCAAGTCCCCTCTGCAGAGGGATCTCTGGCAGATATCTCTAGAAAAGATGAAAGGATTAGAAAACTAACTGAATAATATTTTGTCCTGATGGAGGACAATATTTGGAAGGATATGAGAAGGCTGAGAGTAGAGATAGCTTCATGAGCTCCATACATTTTTTCCACCCTTTACAGCTTGTAAAATTTAGAATCTTTTTCAGATGAGGACTTGACATGATCTGCTGAAGAGCAAACAGCCATTAAAAGCTGAATAACTTCCTCACTGCTAGTACTGAACATGAGGAACTAGAGGAGAGAGCACTCGTGAAGTCACACAAGTCCTCTTTGACATTTTGGAGTAGATTCTGCTGCTGGTATTTTACTATTACCAACAACCGCTGTATGGAGAATAGTTATTACTGTACCTATCATATTTGTCCTCCTTTTTACCACTGCTTTTCCCTCTATAGCCCTGTGAACCAAAAAACCAAGAAGAAAATAAACTGTCCCAGATGTTAAGTGAGTTGCAAGTATCGCATGCAGAGACCACACTGGAACTGGAAAAGACCAGAGACATGCTTATTCTACAGCGCAAAATCAACATGTGTTATCAGGTGCAAGAAAAGATGGTAAAGGGGGAGGTTAGATACATGGGCTCACGGGAACCACTTACAAAACTGAGAATGAAGCAAGACCTGAGTTTCCAGGACTGATGTGAGGTGATATGCCGTCCTGTGCAAACACAGAATGTGCTGTCCTTTGAATAACTTGAGGACTTGCACATGCCCATGGCACCTTGGCATTAGAAGCCAGTGAAGGGGCCAGCTAATGAAAACAGCAGGTGTGAAGCTTCTGGGTTCCAATTCTGCCAGTCCCGGGAAAATACTAGTCTGTGGCACTCGTAGCATAACTGGTCCTGGTGGGGTCTGTGAGGAACCCAAATCTTTTTCTAGTGGATGAATCTGCCCTGCTAAGGAGATAGTCGATTCTCCCTCACCTGGCACGTGCCACTTTTTAATCTGGGCTCTTTGGTTCTGGGCCACTGAGATAGAAAAGTTCAGACATTATTTTGTTTCAGGAGGAACTGGAGGCAATGATGACAAAAGCCCATAATGAAAATAGAGATCACAAAGAAAAACTGGAGAGGTTGAATCAACTCCTAGACCTCAAGAACAATCGTATCAATCAGCTGGAAGGTATTTTAAGAAGCCATGGCCTTCCAATATCCGGCAAGTCTTAGTGCTTTGTTCTCCTCATTCTGGGACCCGCCGCACGGCCAATGGCTATGCTCCCCTCCGTGTACCTGTCTGGAAGGCGCCTCCTATGTCCTCAGCGTATGACGTATGACTTATCCTTCTTATTCTTTATCCTGTCGTCTTTGTTGTTTTTATATGTGGTTAGCAGCTTCTTTTGCTCCATCATGTCAGTATCTTTCTCTGATTTCTCTGGAGAGTTTCGCCAGGGCCCAGCAATTGCTGAATCTGTTTTGAGAATGACAGCATATGACTGTTGGCTCTCAGGGTGGCATAACACTCTCCCTCTATCAAGATTGTTTCCTCAACCCGGGCCTACATAGCAGTGTTAGTGAGGTAATAGAGCTTCATCACTCATCTCTCATCATGCTTTTCTGTGATTTCTCTCTAAAAGTCTCTAAATGCTTTGTTGCAGTTTGAGGATGTCGACATAATGGGGCAGCTGGCTGGACACTTACGCAAATTTCATAATGTGGTACTTCCCGTATTTAGTACAGCCACTGCTGACCAGGCTCTGGTCTCAGCCTTGCATATCAAGAAAATTGGCTTTGTTATTATACTCGGTGGTGAGAGACCTGACTCACACTAACAAAATTCATCAAAGACTGATGTTTAAACCAGAACGTTCATTTGTTGTTTTATGATAGCGGCTGTTCCATTGCTGCCATGAAAATATTTGGAACCACTGTTCATGGCAGGCCTCTCTCTGGAAAACAGAATCAGTAAGCAGTTTCTTAGTGAGGATGGAGCTAGAATGAAGGGAGATGGGTCATTCCGGGGCAGGATTTATCCATGCCAGGGTGAGTCTGTTAAAAGTTTACTGCCATATAACAGAGGAAATCCCTCCTTGGATTGAAATTCTCATGTCCTTCAGATTCAGGGTCTTTCTCCCTGGGCAGTGCAGGATAAATACTCTTACCTACTTCTGAAGATTCATTTGCTTTAACTTATAGTTCTTTCATTACTGGTAAGGCTAAAGAGTTTTTCATATGTTTACCAGTTATTTGTATTATTTCTTTTGAGAATTGCCTATTTCTGTCCTTTACTCTTTCCTTAATTGTATTTTATTGATTCATAGAAGTACTTTACATGCTAAGATTATTAATCCTGTGTTATGTAATGCAAAATTTTAAATATATTTTATTTAGTTATGTTAATCTTATCAATTAAGAAACCATTAGTCAATCTCTGGACAGATTTTGGACAGGAAGACATTCTGATGTATCCAAAATATTTTTATTCTACTATTTTAACTCTTAAAATAGGACCTTCACCATCAACATACTGTGACAACTCAAATACTCCCCCATTTGAAGCAGACCAAATATCCAAGTTTCTGATTGGTTGGACATGGGAGGTAATGTACAGATTTGGTAGACTGTCTCACATATCTTTGCATCTCATTGCCAATATTTTCAACCTTTTTCCAGTAAGTGTCCTCCTCCACTTTCTACTCATTACTCTTTTACTTAAGGAAGATTTTTTGCCTTCTTATGATGAAATCAAATTCTTAACAGAATGAAGATTCTTGTAATTGATCTGGCTAGAGAAGGGAAATTATTTCTTGGTGGAGCCCAATGTAGCGTAATAGACACCATGACTATAACTTGCTATTTTCTCCATGGCCAATATCTCACACTACTGGAAATACTCACATTTTATGTTTCTAGTGCTTCTCTAATGGAATTACCAATTAATTCATAGGACCCTGCTATAAGCCAAAACAATGTCATCTGTTGATGAAATTGTGCCTCCAGTGTTTTTCTGAGCTCAGTGTTTCCTTTTCAACAGATCATTTTGTACCATTTCTAAAGCAGGCATTGGATTATATGCCCATCAGAATTCACAGCTCTTGGTTGTCATTCTACTGCTTTTCCTTTTGAATCTCATGGTTTCTTGAGATAATCACAACTTGGACTTCCACCACGGTTTTTATTCTCCTTCTATCCACCTTCCTTTACTCTAAGGAAGAGCTCCCTACTCTTTAATGGATAGGCAGTTTTCTTTCCCCTCTAGAACAGCTCAAAGATGTGGCTTACGGCACCCGAGAGTTGTCATTATGTCTGGAAACACTGCCAGCCCGTGGAGATAAGGATAAAGTGAACATTTCTCCACTGCATCAGAGTGAGAATCTTTTTGAACTGCACATCCACCAGGCCTTCCTGACATCTGCTGCCCTGGCTCAGGCTGGAGACACTCAACCTACCACTTTCTGCACCTATTCCTTCTATGATTTTGAAACCCACTGTACCCCACTAGCTGTGGGGCCACAGCCCCTCTATGACTTCACCTCCCAGTATGTGGTGGAGACAGATTCCCTTTTCGTGCACTATCTTCAAGGGGCTTCAGTCCGGCTTGATCTATACCAGGCTATTGCCAGTGAGCACTACACCCTTGCAGCCGGATGGATTTGCTTTGACAGGGTGCTGGAGACTGTGGAGAAAGTCCATGGCTCTGCCACACTGACTGGTAAGTGCTGTCGGCTCCCCATAGCTCCCAGGACTAATGTGGAATTTCCCACAGTCATAGTTGCTCTTCTGGTGGTTTCCCATTTTTTTCCTCTGCCTTTAGTCTTGATCTTCACCACACTATTTGTATCCTCCATGCCTTTCATACTTTCTGCTACCCAGGAGCTGGTGGAGAAGACTTCGGGGTGCTAGAGTACTGGATGAAGCTGCGCTTCCCCATAAGATCCACCCTACAGGCATGTAATAAGCAAAGGAAAGCCCAGGCCTACTTGTCAGCCAATGTGCTTGGAGCCTGGGAGGCCCAGGAGGATGAGGTGAGAAAAAGGATGTGCCCATGCATCTCAGAGGGGCCTCAGCCAAGCAGCTCATGAGAACAGCTCAGTCTTCCACTCTCAATAAGTATTTGTTGAATATGAATGCAAGAGAAAAACTGTCACACCACAACTAGACCAGATTCTTTCCTTGGTCAAGCTTGAGTTTGAAATGAAATACGCCCTTGGAGCTAGCTACCTCTCCCTAACAGAAAACAGCTGCTCTGTTCCATTCTCTAAGACAAGGCCTGAGTGCCAACATCTCCCTCTGATAACTATCTGCTAGAGCCAATTTGCAGGCCGGTGAAAGTCATTAGGTTTCTCTATGACCCAGTCAGGATTCAACAATTCTCTAGGTCATAGCTCTTCTTTATCAAGGGTACTGGGCCTCACCTACAATAATTCTCTCAGGCTGCCCTTTTCCTCAGTCCAAGACCAACATCTTTCCAGTTTAGATCAAAGACTTGGAAGCATCAGAATGAGCTGCAAGTGGAAATCATCAGGTGCTGTGGCCTCCGGAGTCGATGGCTGGGAACCCAACCCAGTCCATACGCCATGTACCGCTTCTTCACCTTTTCTGACCATGACACTGCCATCATTCCATCCAGTAATGATCCCTACTTTAGAGACAAGGCTCAATTCCCAGTTCTTATGACCTCTGACCTGGATCAATATCTGAAGTGGGAGGCCCTGTCTGTGTATGTTTTTGATGATGAAGACCCGGAGCCTGGCTCTTACCTTGGCCGAGTCCAAGTGCCCTTGCTTCCTCTTGCACAAAACAAATCCATTAAAGGTGGGAGTTCAAGGTTATTACATCTTTATGCTCTCTTCCCAGTGTTGTCTCCCTGTCCTAATTCTGCTTTTCTTTGACTACTTGCTTGGAACAGTCTCTCTTAAAGCCTGCTGAAAGAATTTTAGAATATTGTCAGGAGCGACAGAGCAGAAGACTTAGAGCCTCACTAATCATGTGGAAACATTGGCTTCTTCTACTTCTTTTCAGCAACAAAAGCAAGATTCCCAAGTGGATAGACCCACCAACCTGAAGTTCATACCTCGATCTCTGAACAAACATTTTCCGATTTGGTAGTGCTTCCCCGTATTTGTCTTTACTTAAGGCCTGCTGTTTCTTGGCACATGACTAGATATCAGAGTATAAGCTGTGTTCCTAACACTCTCCCATAGTTCTCTTGCTTCTTTTAGACATTGGACACAAGTTAGAGAGACTTCCATGCTACACCAGGGCAAAGGCAAATTTCTTGGATTTTTTTTTTTCCCAATATGGAGCTGAACTCCCTACTCCCTCACCTTACTTTCATACCCAGGGTTGTGAGGTGCACCTAGGAAGGATCAACTCTCTGGTTGCAGTCCTGGGAGGGTGAGTCGGATATCTGTGCTCTCATTAGGAGCTGTGGATGGGTACAGCCAGTACCAACCATGTTTGACAAGCTTCTGGATGTTCCAGAAAGTGTGTGAGGCCTCCCTGCTCCCCATACCACAAGTGCTAAAAAAAAAAAAAAAAAAGCTGACTTTTCTGAACACAACTCATCTTTTGCCCAAGAGAAGAGGCAATGTGAGTCATCTGTTAAATTAATCAGTGTTACAAATCAGAAGTCTGGCGTTTGGGAAAAGCCATTTTGCTTAAGTTTTCTTGGCTTTTGTAATTTTAGAATTAGGGGCCACTTGAGTGTAGGTAATGGTTTTCTTGGCATGCCCATGGCACAGAAAGCATTTGGTAGTAGTAATAATAATGTGATCTTGTTTATTGGCTGGGTGACTGATGACAAGCAAGCTATACCTCTCCATACATCTTTTGACTGTCCTTTCCTGAAACCTGGAGATACCCATCTTCCCCTGTAAATATTCTTTTTTTTTTTTTAAAGATTTTATTTATTTATTTTTCCCCCAAAGCCCCAGTAGATAGTTGTATGTCGTAGTTGCACATCCATTCTAGTTGCTGTATGTGGGACGCGGCCTCAGCATGGCCGGAGAAGCGGTGCGTCGGTGCTCGCCCGGGATCCGAACCCGGGCCGCCAGCAGCGGAGCGCGAGCACTTAACCGCTAAGCCACGGGGCCGGCCCCCCTGTAAATATTCTAAGTGAATATTAGAAGTAATATTCTAAATGAATAGAAGTATTCATTGCTATTTTACATTAGTTCTGAGTATATTTCATCATGATTATTTGATAGATGTTAATTAATTACAAACAAAATATGGTGAAATTCAAAATGGGGGAGGGGAATAGATAAGGTGCTGATGAATGCTCACTTGCCTATTTCACATGACCAGATCTTGTTAATGTCTGTGTGTCTCTCAGGTGATTTTAACCTCACTGACCCTGCGGGGAAACCCAATGGATCTGTTCAGGTGCAGCTGGATTGGAAGTCTCACTACTTACCCCCAGAGAGCTTCCTGAAACCAGAAGCTCAGATTGCGGAGAACCATACCAAGGACGGTGTAGAGATCTCACCTGAAAAGGAAGAGGCTTCCTTTCCTCTCCAGGTAGCAGATCTCCACCAACCCTGTGGGGCAGATTTGAGGAAGACAGTATTAAAACTGGAGTAAAAGAAATTCCTTCTGTGACTGTCATGTGTCCTGCAAACTTAATCTGCATCCCTCATAATGCCGTAAGGCTATTGATGGAGCAAAACAGGGTTTTATTGTGGGGCGGAGAGAGAGATGGTATCTCAGCTCTCTGGCAGGAGAGAAATGAAGTCTAATGCTAGCTCACAAATCCCTTTATTGACTATCAAGGCTGTTAGGCTATCATCTTGTAAGGCTGTCTCTGACCCTTCTATTTAGGACCAGGGGGCATCCGCTGAGATTCCTATTGAAGCTGGCCGGTATCAAGCTAAGAGCAAACCTCCTCAGGTGGGAGAAAGGAAGGAAAGGGAACATCAGGTTGCAAACTACTCAAGAAGAAAACACGGCAGAAGAACAGGCATTCAAGGGAAGAACAGAATGGAATATCTTAGTCGTAACATCTTAAATGGAAATACACTGCAGGTAAGGCCTTAGAGACCCTGAAGGACTGAAGTATGGGTTGTAGTGTCCCCAAATATTTTATTCTCAGAGGTAGAAGCAGAAGCAGACTCACAAGATAAGCAATAATCATGGTTTTTTGTGGTTAGCCCATGTTTCCACCACCACAAGTGGTTTAATAAACCTCTGGACTGTTCACTTCATTTCAATGTAATTTAATTCAACAGATTATGGACACTGCAATTTACGCTTCGAACTTTAGTACCACACCCCTAATCAGTCCACTTCAACTGTAATCAAAGTAAATTAAACAACAAGTATTTATTGGACACCTGCTATGTGCTTGATACTGCCTTTTCTTCATAGGAAACTGGATTAAAGTTACTATGTAGCACCTAAAATAAAAAAAAATACATATAAGATTATAAATATATTACATATTACGTCATTATAATTTATATTGTATTGTATAATTAATAATATATAATTATTAATCTTATAAAATTATTATAATTATACAATATACTTATATTTGTTATCCTTATTCTGAAGCAGGTAAACTACGCTGAATGGAAGTTCTCAGGGCTTAAGATCTCCATAGATGACGGTCTGAAAAATCAGAAAAAGAAAGAGGAAATGACCTCATCCCATTCAGCACTGATGCAGAAGGAAGCCCTACATCCTGTAAATGGTATTGTCTTTTTAAAATCGAATTTTCCTATTTAATCATTGGATTATTTTATCAAACCAGTTATTGACTTTCTTCCTTCATCTTGCATTGCTTAACTTTTCATGGAAAATTAGTCCTGAAGACCCTAGGCTCAGTTTTATGCTGCAAGTGTTCTGGTTAGGCCAACCAAGGCTGGACTCCTCAAAGAGAGTACCTTTCTGTGTATTTGAAGCTAGCTAGCTCGCTGGCCAGTTTAGTTACCTAGCAAGCATAAATTCCAGGGTCTTGTGAATTACGGTTACAAAGAAATAGGAGGAGGAGTATGATTCGCTCATATGGGATGTTAATCCAAATTTCTTTTAAATTAAGGCAAGGCTTTTGTGTTACAAGGAAAAGAAGACATAATTTCAGGTTACAGTAATGGCAAACTAGTTAATTCAGACCAACTCTCCTGTTAATGACAATCAAAAAGTTAAAGTTGGGCCGGCCCCGTGGCTTAGCGGTTAAGTGCGCGCGCTCTGATGCTGGCGACCCGGGTTCGGATCCCGGGAGCGCCCCGAGGCACCACTTCTCCGTCCAACGCGAGGCCGAGTCCCACGTACAGCAACTAGAAGGATGTGAACCTATGACGTACAACTATCTACTGGGGCTTTGGGGGGAAAAAACTGAATAAATAAAATCTTTAAAAAAAAAAAAAAAAAAAAAAAAAAAAAAAAAAAAAGTTAAAGTTAATAACTTTTTTAAAATCTTGGGGCTAGCCCTGTGGCCTAGTGGTTAAGTTTGGCATGCTCTGCTTCGGCACCCGGTTCAGTTCCGAGTGCAGACCTACACCACTCATCGGCAGCCATGCTGTGGCAGTGACCCACATACAAAATAGAGGAAGATTGGCACAGATGTTAGCTCAGGGTGAATCTTCCTCAAGCAAAAAAAAAAGAAAAAAATCTTAATGTTTCTTAAAAGCAATAAAGAGCCAATAAGAGCAAGAGGAATTACCTAGCCTAGAGCTAGAACTGCCTCAGCTCTGGGACATTGCTGGTCTGGAGGAAGCAGTGGAGAGATAAACCATGCTTTTGGTGGATTTTTGGGGTGGGGATATGGGATGCAGTCTGAATCTGAATCTGAATCTGCAGTCTGCCCAGCATAGGTAGGTGTCTGCCTGGAGCAGAATTTCCCACTCTGGTCTGGGACCCTGAAGACAGCACCATTCTGAGCTTCTTGTGCTCCGAGAGGCAGAACTGTGCTTTGGGCACTTAACAGGGCTAGAGGGACGAGGGCTGACCAGATGCCCACCAGGACTCCAGATATTGGAGACAACAGACCCAACCTGCATAACAATTGTGTTTACTAGGTTCGTGGAGATAAAAGTTGAACTTTAACATTTCAGCAGGGAACTGGAGCTACGAAAATCGATGTTGTAAGTTTTAAAAAACATTTTGTTTTAAAATAATTTCAAACTTCTATAAGAGCTATATGAATAGGACAAAAAAAATGCACGTAAACCCTTCATGCAAACTCATCAACTTTTAACATTTTTCTACTTTTCACTGTATCACTTTTTTCTGAAGCATTTGAGAATATGTTGCATATATCATGCCCCCTTACTGCTGTATATTTCAGTAAGAAAAAGGAAATTATATAACCACAGTACAATTATCCAGTTTGCAAACTAAATGTGGATACATTATTGCCTAATGTTCGGTCCATTTTCAGAATTTGCTGATTGTCCCAATAATGTCCATTATAGCAGAGTTTTTTCCCCCTTATCTAATCCAGGATCATACATTGCATTTAGTCGTGTCTCTTTAGTTTTTTAAAATCTGGAACAGTTCCTCATCTTTTCGCTGTCTTTGATGATGTTGACATTTTTGAAGAGTGTAGGTGAGCTGTTCTGTAGAGTGTCCCTCATTTTCGATTTGTCTGATGTTTCTGCGTAATTAGATTCAGGTTGTGAATATTTTAGAGGAATACCACAGAAGTGATGTTGTGTCCTTCTCACTGCATCACATTAGGAGGTTCATGATATCAGTTTGTCCCATTATTGGTGAGGATAACTTTGATCACTTTGATCATGCTTTGCTTAAGAAAGCATCTGCCACATCTTTCCATCATAAAGTTATCATTTTTCCCTTTGTAATTCTTAAGTAATCTATGAGAAGATATTTTGAGTCTATATAAATCTCTTCTTCCTCATCAAATTTCAGCTAATAAATTTGGCATCCATTTTTTTTTTTTTAAGATTTTATTTATTTATTTTTTCCCCCCAAAGCCCCAGTAGATAGTTGTATGTCATAGCTGCGCAGCCTTCTAGTTGCTGTATGTGGGACGCGGCCTCAGCATGGCCGGAGAAGTGGTGTGTCGGTGCGCGCCCGGGATCCGAACCCGGGCCGCCAGCAGCAGAGCGCATGCACTTAACCGCCAAGCCACGGGGCCGGCCCCATAAATTTGGCATCCATTTTTGAGTTGTTTTTTTTTTTTTGCCTGGATCAGTTACAAAATGTTTGCAAAATACATTGCAAATCTGGAAATGAATCAATAGAAATAACAGAACTCCTAAATACAGAAATTTGTAAGAGAAATAGGTGGGTTAAAAGCAGATTTGACACAACTGAAGTGAGAATTGGTGAAAATATCTAGAATAAAGCAACAAAACAAGATGGAAAATACAAAAGAGGAAAAAAGAGCCATAAAGGATAAAATAAGGAGGTCTAAGCTACACCTAATTAAATGTAGAAGAGAAAGAAGGAGGAAGAGGCAATATTTGAAGTAATAATCACTTAGAATTTTCCAGAACTAATAAAAGATATTAAGATGCAATGAAATGAAACTCAAACAAAAAAGTAAAAGTAAATCTAAATCTAGACACATCAGAGTGAAAATACAGAAAATAAAATCAAAAAGAATATATCAAAAGCATCCATTTAAAAGAAAAGGATGGACACGGGTACAATGGTAAGATGGACAACTGACTTGTCAAGAGCTACAACTGAAGCCAGAAAGCAGTGGCAAGATACCTTCGTCTGCTGAAAGAAAATAACTAACTGCCAGCCAAGAAACCTCTGCACAACAAAAATGTCCTTCCACAGAATAGACGTTTAAAGACAAACCAAAATAGAGAGTTTGCTTCCAAGCTACATTTTAAAGAAAACTTAAAAGTTGTTCTTTAGGCTGAAGGAAAATTATCCCAGAAGGAAACACAAAGTGTAACAAGGAATGAAAAGCAAAGAATATGGGTTAATTTAAATGGCTGTGTAAAGCAAAAATATCAGCTTGTGGGATTTAAAATATATTCACATTTTAAATAAATAATGTAGTGGGTTCATTGGTGGCCCCCCAAAAGATGTATCCATGTCCTAAACCCCAGAACCTGTAAATGTTACCTTATTTGAAAAAAGAGTCTTTGCAAATATTATTAAGTTAAAGATCTTGAGATGGGGGCCAGCCTGGTGGCGTAGTGGTTAAGGGCGTGCACTCCGTGGCTGGTGGCCTGGGTTTGGATGCCGGGTGTGCACTGATGCACCGCTTGTCAGGCCATGCTGTGGCGGCATCCCATATAAAGTGGAGGAAGATGGGAACAGATGTTAGCCCAGGGCCAGTCTTCCTCAGCAAAAAGAGGAGGATTGGCATGGATGTTAGCTCAGGGCTGATCTTCCTCCCCAAAAAAAAAGATCTTGAGATGAGGAGATCATCCGGGATTATCTGAGTGGACTCTAAATCCAATGAAAGTGTTCTTATTAGAGACACACAGAGGAGAGACACATGCAGAAGAGGAGCAGGCAGTGTGACTGTGGAGTCAGATTGGAGTCATGTGGCCACAAGCCAATGAATGCCTGGAGCCACCAGAAGCTGAAAAAGGCAAGAAAAAAAGGAAGAGGCAGTTTGTCCCCAAGAGCCTTTGGAGTGAGCGTGGATTTCCCAACACCTTGATTTTGGACTTCTGGCCTTCAGACCTGTGAGAGAATAAATTTCTTGTTGTTCTCGTCTTTTTTCATGAATGTTTTTACCTTTATTTATTTTAGTATACTTGAGATAGATGTTTCATCTTTAACAAGCTTAAGTGAATTGTACATGTTTTATGTAAGCCAGAGGCACAACCAAGGCTAAAGTAACATCTGGCCCAGCAACTGACACCACTAGAGGAGCTCATAGGAAGTTCACTAACACCTTGAAGATCCATTACTTTATTGTAGAATGAGTGACTCTTCAGAAAAGAAAAAAAAGACATAAAGGGTAAGGTGAGGAGGTCTAAGCTACATTTAATCAAATGTAGGAGAGAAAGAAAGGGGACAGAGGCAATATTTAAAGTGATATGTATAATTCATATCTACATTCAGAAAATGAAGTCATGAGAAGGGATTTTCTGTGTTTGGGCTAGGATCTCTGGAATGGCTTCCTGCAATTCAGGCCAGTCCTTGGAGACCAGCTCTGCAAAAGTGCATAACCCACTGTGGTTGAGTTCGTTGTGGCTGAGACAGAAGGCAGAATCGCATGTTTCTGTGAGGTTGTCCTGTGTTCAGTCCAGCATCAACATCTCTGCCAGTGTGGTCTTGCCACTGCCCTCAGGACTGTGCAGCACCACTGTCTGTAGAAATGGCTCTGTAAGCATTTTAGGATTACTGAATGGGATCAGTGCCTCGTATTTCTGGGTGACAATAAGGATGCTTTCACTGGCTCCGAGCCAAAAGTTGTTCTTAAATTTCTGTTGTTTTAAGCCACTAAATTTGTGGTATTTTGTGACAGCAGCCATAGAAAACCAATGCAGGCAATAACAAATATTTGATGATCAACCAACACACTTCTAAAGAACCCTTGCATCAAAGAAGAACTCCTAGGGAAAATTAGAAAATATATTGAACTGAATGAAAGTGAAAACACAACGTATCACAATTTATGGGATGCAGCTAAAGCAGTGCTTGTAAGGAAATTTTTATAGCTTTAAATGCTTATAATTAGAAAAGAATAAAGATCTAAAGTCAATAACGTAAGCTTCTACTTCGAGAAGCTAGGAAAAAAAAATAAAATCAAACCCAAAGAAAGAAATAATAAAGATCAGAGCAGAAATCAGTGAAATAGAAAACAGAAAAAGATTAGATAAAATCAATGAATCCAACAATTGTTTGTTTGAAAAGATCATTAAACTTGGTAAGCTTTTATCTTGAATGACTATACTAATTAAGATCCGACCACGAGACAGAAACTACATAATAATTTGAACAGGAAAAGTTTAATATAAAGAACTATGAACTATAACAGAGGATTGAACTTGGGGGATGAGGATTGACTAGTAAGTAATAAAGAGAACTCTAAAGAATACAAGAATAGCAGATCTAAAGAACATCCACTAATTCCTAGAGCTGAGATAGAGGCCCCAAAGAAGAAATAAATCTGGTAGACAATCCCCTTCAAGGCTGAAATCCAGACCTTGTTGGAGAGAGTTAAGTTATATTTTACTGAGCGGCACAGAAATTTGCTGTGGCTGCACATCAGAACTCAGAGGAACTGTGAAATTGTCCTCTGGAGTGTTAGGGGTAAACCATTCACAGAGAGGTGCCAAGCCAGTGGCATTTCACTGCAAACTCACTCTAGGAGGTACCAGGGAAACTGACCATGGGGAGATGCCATGTGCTGCTGGCCACTGAGAACTGCTGGAATTGGATGTTGCAGAAGCTGTGTGCTACCAGCATTGTGTTCTGCAAGAAACCATGTATGTTGTTGGAGCCAGGCCCTATGTTGCAGGAGCCTGGTCTGCAGAGTCCACATCTGCTGCAGGAGCTTGCCTAAATGAACACACTGGAACCAGGGAGAGAAATCTTTTCCTCTTCCAGTGATCCTCCAAAGCACTCTACTGACAAAACTTAATGTGTTGCTAGCTGGCAAGGAAGAAATATTTGCAGGGTCCAGCTCCGTTATTGCAGAGCAGGCAGTGAAGTTCTTATTTTGAGCTCAGAAGCAATAAGTTGATAACTGGCACACTTAATCAAGAAAAAAGAGCAAAGACATAAGTTAGCAAAGTCAGGAATGAATGTAGGGTCACTACAGACCCCACAATTAAAAGGATTATAAAAGAATATTATGAACAACTTTATGCAACTTAGATGGAAAAGACAAATTCATAGAAAGATACAAATTACCAAAACTGACTCAAGAAGAAATAGAAGATCAGTATTGACCTATAAAAAGTAAAGACAATGAATTAGTAATTTAAAATCTTCCCACATCAACAAGTCCAGGCCCAGATGGCTTCATTGATGAATTCTATCAATATTTAAGGAAGAAATGATGCTGATCCTTCACAGTCTCTTAAAAACCAGTAGAGCAAGGGAAACGTCCTAACTCATTCAGTTATAAAGCTAGTATTATCTTGATACCAAAGCAAGCCAAAGACATTAAAAACAAAACAAAACAAAACTACAGAACAATATCCATCATGAACACTGATGCAATATCCTAAATTAAATATTAGCAAATTCAGCAAAAAATAAAAATATTAAAAAGATTGTACATCATGATCAAGTGGGATTTATTCTAGGAATGCAAGGTTAGTTTAATGTCAGAAAATAGATTTAATATACTGTATTAATAAAATAAAAGCTAAAAGTTTTATGATCATCTCAATAGATGGAGAAAAGCATTTCACAAAATCCAACTCCCATTCTTGATAAGAACTCTCAGCAAACTAGGAATAGAAGGAAATTGCTTCAGACTAATGAAGGACAATAATACCTGTAGCTAACATCCTACCTAGTGGTAAAAGACTGAATGTTTCTCCCTTAAGACTGAGAAAAAGAAAGGATATCTGCTTTCGCTACTTCTTTTGAACATTGTAGTGGAGATTTTAATCATTGCAATAAAACGAGAAAAAGAAATTAAATTCATACAGAATGGAAAGGAAGAAGTAGTGCTGTCTTTATTTGCAATTGACATGATCCTGTATTTAGAAAATCATAAGAAATCTACAAAAATTAAAAAAGACCTAGAACTAAAAGCAAGTGAACAAGGTTGTAGGATATAAATCACTATACCAGAATCAATTGTATTTCCATATACTATCAATGAACAATCTAAAAATGAAATCAAGAAAACAATTTCATTCACAATATTATCCAAAAGAATAAAATATTTGGGAATAAATTTAAGAAAAGAAATGCAAGACCTGCATACTGAAAACTATAAAAAGTCCTGAGGGAAATTAAGGAAGATTCAAATAAATGGAGAAATGTACCATGTGTATGGATTGGACCACTCATAATTGTTAAGATAGCCGTTCTCCCCCAAATTTATATAGAAACACAAAGAACCTAGAATAGACAAAATAATTGTGTAAAAGAAGACAAAGCTGAAATGTTTGTACTATCTAATTTCAAAACTTACTATAAAGCTACACTAATTCAGACAGTGTGGTATTAGCATAAAGATAGACATAGATCAATGGGACAGAATTGCGAATCCAGAAATAAACCCTGATATTTAAGGTCAATTGATTTTCCACAAAGATTCCAAGGCAATTCAGTGGGGAATCTAATCTTTCCAATAAATCTAATGTTTCCAATAAATGGTGCTGAAACAATCAGATATCCACATATCTAGAAAAAAAAGGACTTAGACCCTGACCTCATGCCATACACAAAAATTAACCGAAATAGGTCATAAATCTAAATATTACAACCCAAACTATAACATTTATAAAAGAAAACATAGGATAAAATATTTGGTTGTCCCTTAGATTAGACAAAGATTTCTTAGGTATGACACCAGAAGCATGATACATAAAATAAAAAATTGATAAATTGGACTTCAGCAAAATAAAAATGTATCCTCTTCAAAGAACACCATTAAGAAAAAGAAAAGGTAAGCTACAGACTAGGAGAAGATATTTGCAAATCACATTTTTGATAAAGGACTTGCATCCATAATCTATAAAGAACTCTTACAACTCCATGATAAGACAACCTAATTTAAAATGGTCAACAGATTTGAATAGACATTCACTAAAGAAGATATGTGAATGGCTAATAAGCACACAAAAAGAGGCTCAACATCGTTAGTCATTAGGAAAGTGCAAAATAATACCACAATAAGATACCAGTACACACCAAGAATTGATATATTCTGGAGGGTGATTGTACCAAGTGTTAGTGAGGATGTGGAAAAAACTGGAACCTTATATATTGCTGGTGAGAATGTAAAACAGTACAGCCACTTTACAAAATATTTGGTTGTCCCTTAAAAAGTTAAACATATAGTTTACAACCCTGCAATTCTATTCTTAAGTATCTACCCAAGAGATATGAAAACATTTGTCAACCCAAAAAGTTGAACACAAATACTCATAGCAGCGTTTATTCATCATTCAGAGTAAGGAAAGATTTTTTAAAATAAGAAACAAAATGCACTAATCATAAAGAAAAATATTGATCAAGGTTAATATCTTAAAAGTAAGAATTTCTGTTCAGCAAGAGATTAAACAGGCAAGCTAAAGAGTGGAAAAGATATTTGTAACTCATGTAACTACCAAAGGGCTCAAATTCAGAAAATATACAGAGGGCCGGCCCCGTGGCTTAGCGGTTAAGTGTGCGTGCTCCACTACTGGCCACCCGAGTTTGGATCCCGGGTGCGCACCGACGCACCACTTGTCCAGCCATGCTGAGGCTGCGTCCCACATACAGCAACTAGCAGGATGTGCTACTATGACATACAACTATCTACTGGGGCTATGGGGAAAAAAACGGAGGAGGATTGGCAATAGATGTTGTTAGCTCAGAGCCGGTCTTCCTCAGCAAAAAGAGGAGGGTTACCATGGATGTTAGCTCGGGGCTGATCTTCCTCACACATACACAAAAATATACAGAACTCCTACAGATCAATAAGTAAAAGACAAACAACCCAGTAGAAAAATGAGCAAAAGATTGGAAAGGCACTCTACCAAAAGGAAATTCAAATATTCAATAAAAACTATTAAGAGTGTCAAGGTCACATTGCAAGAGAGTATATGGCATGGGGGATATTGTTTGAGGCTGTCTTTGGAAAATACAGTTTGCCACACTGCTTTTCCTTGGCTTGGTCATTTCCTCCAGCCCCAACAAAAGGACAAACTTCTTTTCTATCTTCTTTTCTTCCTTCCTTCTTTCCTTTTCTTTCCTTTTTTTTTCAGAAGTGAACCCTGTATGTTTGGCAAGCTTCCAAAAAAGTGAATCTTTGAAAAAGACAGGGTGATCTGAAACAGTTCTGTAACTCCAGCCTCTTCCCTGACAGACAAAGAATCCTGTGAACAAGCTTCTGAAGTCAGTGAAGCACAAACTACAGACAGTGACGACATAGTGACACCCGTATCTCAGAAATGTCCTAAGGCAGTAAGTACCCGGGGGGGGGGGGGCGATCGTTGAGTATGAGGCAAGATTGTAAATAACGACAGTGTGCTTAATGGCCACATATGTGATGTTCAAATCCAGTTTTAATGAACCTGATGGGAAATTCAAGTTATTTAGTTGAATTTACATTGCGAGTGAATAGAAGTCTGCAGATACAGTCAGATGAAAGGATCATTTTCTTGATTTAGTGTAATGAGGACTTGCTTCAACACTTTTCTCTCCTATTTGGATCCCTTACCTGCCTCCTTCATTGTGTACTGTGATTCATCCCTAGCCTGAGTGATGCCCCTTTCTTTAAATCCACCTGAGGAGAACAGGTTTACCTTGGGAAGTGGAGGCTGGAAGAAAGGAAAAGATTCTTTGTGGGAGGGCTCAGAGAGATCATTCAGTTTCTGAAGTTTTTGACCCAACCTTTAAAACCTGTAATTACAATTATTTATTAAGCATTTCAGCCTCAAATCTCTTTTGGAACTAATTGAGGCTACACACACACACACGCACACACATGAATAAATATCCACGGGTATACTCAACAATCATTGTATTAGAATCTTGTGGGGTTGTAAATGAGGTAGAAAACAGTCACTCCATGGAGCCACTAGAATGCTCCCTGGCACATTTGTAGGTGCTCAATAAATATTTGTTGAATGAATGACTGAATGAAAGATTAAAATCCAATTGAGTATTATGAACATTTTTAGAAACAATAAAGAAAAGCATGGCGTGACCTAGAATCAAGTGGGTAGATATGTGTTATCTAAACTCTAAAGTTTGTTAGAATTCAGAAGGGAAATTATTATTGCTTTTGTAGAGGTCAGAAAACTCTTCCTTGAAAGTCAAAACTTGTACTGAGGATTTGCAGGAAGATTAAGGATGTTGGAGTGAGGAGAAACAACTCACAGTTAGTAGATTTAAATAGTTAACATAGCAAATAGTTAAGTTTTTTTTTTTTTTTTTTTTAAAGATTTTATTTATTTATTTTTCCCCCAAAGCCCCAGTACATAGTTGTCTGTCATAGCTGCACATCCTTCTAGTTGCTGTATGTGGGACGCGGCCTCAGCATGGCTGGAGGAGTGGTGCCTCAGTGCGCACCCGGGATCCGAACCCGGGCCGCCAGCAGCGAAGCGCACGCACTTAACCGCTAAGCCACGGGGCCGGCCCAATAGTTAAGTTTATCTTCTGAACTTTTATCTGTCATATCTTTTTTTAGACATTATGTAATTAATATCTTAAGAAATGTTTATAAGACAGATCAGAACCATACAATGATACAAGTAGACAATAACACCTTAGATATCATAAAGGTAAAGAAGATCAAATGATGTGTCCAGGATTATAGAGCTAGTCAGTGAAAGAGCTGGCACTCCAGTCGAGGTTTCTAAACCAGGCACCTCTCAGATCAACCCAAAAAGCAGCCAACTGGTCAGAAAATTTTTGAACTACAAGTCAGACAGATCACATTAAAATTATTGCTCTAAATTAAAGGCTCCTAAATAAGATTTCCTTTTAGAAAATGTTTGTGTACCCAAAAATGTTACTTGAGAAACTAAATATGAAAACCGAGACTACTTAAGCAAAAAATTAGTTATTATCAAATTAAACTTATAACACGACACATATATACTCAATCATTATTGTATTTCAAAATAGCTAGGCATAAAAGATCGAAGAGGTTAAAGGCCCAGAGACAATACTTGAGCTCTCTCACTCTTCTGCCAGGAGTCAACCAGGATAATGGAGGAGGCAAGAGAGTAGAGCGTTTAAGAGCATGACGATTTGGTTTGGACAGAAGTGGTTTGTGAGGCTGTAATGAACAGCATGGTGACTATAGTTAATAATACCGTATTGTGTATTTGAAAGTTACTAAGAGAGTAATCTTAAATGTTCTCATCACAAGAAGAAAATTGGTAACTGTGTGTGGTGATAGATGTTCACTAGACTTATTGTGGTGATCATTTCATAATATATACAAATATCAAATCATTATGGTGTATACCTGAAACTAACCTAATGTCATATGTTGATTATATCTCAGTTTTTAAAAAAAGTAGTTTAGATCTTGGCTCTGCTACATACTAGCTGTGCAGCTTTGGTGAAGTTATTTAACTTCTATTAGACTTTGTTTCCTCATGTGTAAAACGGTAAAATTAAGTTTATCTACCTTATAGTGACGTGGCAAGATTTAAATAAGGTAATGTGTGGTAAGTGCTTAATATGGTGCCTGAGACAAATTAACACTAAATGATAGAGATGACAAATGTTGATGATGGCAATAGCATATCCTCTCTGAAGCATTCTGGTTCTCAAGATCAAGCTTCTATGATCTGGTGGTGGCCCCTGCAAGGAAGGACTAGGCCCTAAGGGGAAGGATTGAGGCAGAAGGGTGTCAGTTCCCTTCTGCCTGCCAGGTTAATTGAATAGGTTGAACAGTACAACTTAAGGAAGACCCTTCTAAAATGTCTTTCCCTTAAAGTACTGAAAAAGTGAAACAATCACAATCCATTTGGATCTTTAACTGCCCCTCTCTGAGTCTAGAATTAGGACAGTGCCTGTGTTCATAGGATATATGTAGGCCTATTCCCCAGGGGGCCCTGTCTGTTAATCAGCATGAGGTTCCTAAAGGCCATCTGTATTTACCTTCCCTCTAAGAATCTCCAGGAAATGATCTCAACCCAAACCACATGGTTTCCTCCAGATGAAGTCCCATTCCTGGTCCCAGAAATCAATCTCCCACTCTGAGTGAACCATGGAAAACTTTTCCTTCCTCCCCCACTTTTTTTCTTTTGCTGAGGAAGATTAGCCCTGAGCTAACATCTCTGTCAATTGTCCTCTACCTTACACGTGCGTAGAAGCCACAGCATGGCTGATGAGTGGTGTAGGTCTGCGCCCGGGATCTGAACCCACGAACCCGGGCCATCGAAGCGGGGCATACCAAACTTAACCACTAGGCCATGGGACGGCCCCTTCCCTCCCCTTCTTAACAGCTACTAATGAAAAGGGAGCAGTCATTTCCATTTGCTTTATGGCTTCAGGTTACTTACTGTGTTTTACCCATACTGTGTCTCAAGAACCTCAAAGTTTATTCTCTTTTCTTATGCTCTTAATTTCAGGTGTGGAGAATGTCCTGACCCCTATGTATGCTAGCTAATTAATTTTAGCAACTCTGCCTCCCAGCCAAATTAGCTAGCACATCTGAATGAATAAGCCAATGGGAACTGTCTGTCTGGCACTAATGCTGCGTAACTGACTGCTCTTAGGGGTTCTGCCAGCACATTCAAATGAGTTAGTATACATTACAGTGATTACTATGGCGAATATTAATAATTGTATACTTTTTTTTTTTTTGCTGTTCAGTCCCAATAAAATTGTATAGTGGAACCAGCTCATGTAAAGGATTCTAGGTCAAATTAAAATATTGAACCATGTCTTAGTAAATTTGGGCTGCTAAACAAAGTACCATAGACCAGGTGGCTTATAAACAACAGAAATTTATTTCTCACAGTTCTTGAGGCTGGAAGTCCAAGATCAGGTTGCCAGCATGGTCAGATTCTGGTGAGGACCCTTTTCCAGGTTGCAGACTGCCAACTTCTCGTTGTATCCTCACATGGCAGAAAGAGAGCGAGCTAGCTCTTTGGAGTCTTCTTATAAGGGCACTAATTCCATTCATGAGGGCTCCACCCTCATGACCTAGTTACTTCCCAAGGGCCCCACCTCCAAATACATTGGGATTAGGGTTTCAACATATGAATTTTGAGGGGGACACAAACATTCAGTCCATAACAAGCCATATGAAATTATCATTTTTATACATAAAAAGTGGTGGACTATTGACAGTTTCATATAGTTCAACCTAATAGGAATGAATAAGCCCTCCAGGGGTACCTGGCTCAAATGTTAATCTTATTCATCCTCCTAATTCACCTTTTTTATCAGAATAAACTTGATGCAGTCTGCCTAAATATGGATTTCTGATCATTTGTCCCAGGCTATTTACAAGTATAAAATTTTAGAAATTAAATTACACAAGTAATGTAAGAATACATTTTTCTTTTAAAAACTGGAATATTACAGATAAAGCTAAATCTCCATTGACCACTACCTATAATCCCTGCCGCCTCTTCCCACTACCCCAAGAAAACCATTGTTTTGAGTCTTGGGGTGTATCTTCAGATCTTAAAAAAAAGAACTTTAGCATTCATATTGTTTTGTATTTGTCGTTTTTGCTTTCAAATAAATGACATTAAACTGCACATATTATTATTTTTAAAAATTATTATTTTGAAATAATTATAGATTTGTAAACAGTTGCAAAAATAGTATGAGATGCCATGTACCCTTCACCCAGTTTCTCCCGTTTATTTTTCTTTTTTGGTACATATTATTCTGAAATGTGCATTTTTCAATTAATAATGTTTTGGGAGTCAATCCATGTTGATATATTTAGCTTTCTGTAGTTCATTCCTCTTAACTGCTGATCAGTATTTCATTAAAATAATATCTGACCTTTTCTTGGGGCCAGCCCTGTGGTGTAGTGATTAAGTTCAGTACTCTCTGCTTCGGTGGCCTGGGCTCATGGGTTTGGATCCCGGGTGTGGACCTACACCACTTGTCAGTCATGCTGTGGCGGCATCCCACATACAAGATAGAGGAAGATTGGCACAGATGTTAGCTCAGGGCGAAGCTTCCTCAGCGAAAAAACAAACAAAAACAAAAAAATCTGATCTTTTCTTTAGACAGACCTCAGTGGGCAACACTGCTTAAGCTCTCATGCCATCTGCGTGATGCTCATTGGCTCATTCAGTCCTCACAGCAGCCCTGTGAGGTGCTGACTCCCTCAACAAGTAGTGATGCGGTGCCTGTCTGAGTTTTTGCCAGGCTCTGTGGGTGCAGAATGGTAAATGGGACAGACTTGGTCCCTTCTCTCTTGACTCTTAAATTCTACTGAGGGAAAACATATAAATCAGTGAACAAATAAACCAGATACTTGCTAATTCTAAATACTAGGAAGAAAATAAATAGGGTGATATAATAGATAGTAATGGGAGGGGTTGAGTGAGGTAAGGAGGTAAGGAAAGACCTCTCTGAAGAGGGGACATTTGAACTGAAATCTGAAGAATGAGAAGGGGAGAGCTGGGGAGAACTCAGCTCAGGCAGAGGAAATGGCACATGTAAAGGCCCTGAGGTAGAAAAGAGTTTTGTTTATCTGGGGTACAGAAATCAAGAGAATGTTATATGTCAATAAAGCTAGGGATGGGGGGAGAAAATTCCACAGTAAAATTTCTTAGCCAGACTTTGTACATGAGCCTTGAGAGGAGAGAATGTTTGATGACCATACCTAGCTTTTGCAGAATTTGTCCTCTGATCTGTATACAGACCGACTGCATCAGGACATTGTCACTTTCATTTCTGTACAACCAGGTACCTACAATAAAAGAGGGAAAAAAGAAAAAAACTAGTAATGCCACAGTAAACATCCTTGTTCATATGTATCTTTGTGTACCTGGCAAATGTTTTCGTGGGATAGATTCCTAGAAGTGGAACTGCTGGTTTTAAAAGGGATGTGCACTTGAAATTTTGATAAATGCCACCAAATTATTATCCCCCAAATTATACCAATCTATACTCACCCTATACTAGCCCTATTTCTCACAGTGTTACCAACACTTCTCCCCTGACAGGTGTAATTTTCAGTTCCTAACTTTAATGGGATGAGAGTGTTGGTGAGGGAACAAGTCAAAAGCAATTTTGAAAAATTTAGATCTAGGTGACATGGAGAGGTAACAAAACAAATTAGGGGTATGCTAGATGCTGGGACTAAAGGGGTTAGTGAAACAGACTTGAGGTCCCAGAACTCATGGAGCTTACAGTCTATGAAGTGCTGTTCAACAGAATTACAATGTGAGCCACAAATGTAATTCAAAATTTTCTAGTAGCCATATTAAAGGTGTAAAAAGAAACAGGTATAATTAATTTTAATAATATATTTTATGGGGCCAGCCCGGTGGCATAGCGGTTAAGTTTGTGTGTCCTGCTTAAGCGGCCTAGGGTTCGCCAGTTTGGATCCTGGGCACAGACCTACTCACCGCTCATCAAGCCATGCTGAGGCGGCGTCCCATGTAGAAGAGCTACAACTCTACAACTATGCTACACAACTAGGTACTGGGGCTTTGGGGAGAAAAAATTTAAAAGAAAGGGAAAGACTGGCAACAGATGTTAGCTCAGGGCCAATCTTCCTCAAAAAATAAGTAAATAATATATTTTATTTAACCTAATATATCCACAGTGTTATCATTTCAACATGTAATCAGTATAAAAAATTATTGAGATATCTTACATTCATTTTTTTTCATGCAAAATCTTCAAAATCCTGTGTGGATTTTACACTTAACAGCATATACCAATTCAGATTGGCCACATTTCAAGTGTTCCATAGCCACCTGTGGCTAATGGCTATTGTGTTATATAGCATAACTCTAGTGCAATGTTTTTCGACTGTGAGTTGGCATCTCTTAGTGGGGAGTGAAATCAAAATTGGGGGTCCCAGCCAGCACTAAAGAAAGCCTGAGATAGCGTAGAATACAAAATAACAGTTTGCATCACACACAGTAATGTTAAGAATTGTTTCAGGAGACTTATTTCAGTGATTTATACACACACGTGCAGATAACACATGTGCTGAGTCTTACAGTTTGAAAGTTACTTGTCTTGTGGTGGTTCATGTTTAACTATAGGGAAAATATTCATCCCCACCAAGCATAGGGTTTTTTAAGATGGAGAGACAACTTATTATGAACACCTTTCTCTTTTTTTCTAGACCCCAGTGTTTCCCAAAGTGTGTTCCATGGAAAATTAAACCCCAGCCATGCTCCAGGAAAAAGAAAAAAGATTGTGTAGTCAAACATTTTTGGAAAAAACTACCTCTATATCATCCTTTAAAAGTGTCCCAGTGCACATTAGCATATTAAATTCTTTAAGTCTGGTTGTTAATCTTGAGTTTCCAAGATTTATTTTATCACAGACCATTCATTTGTAAAACACCTATTCCTCAAGACACACCTTGAGAAATTCGGCCTAACTTTTATTGAGACTACAGCATAGGGTTTGCAATTTAAAAATAATTGCAGTGTTGGCAGGAGAGAACTTTCTAGGGTGATGGAAATGTTCTGTATCTTGAATAGGGTGTTTATTACACACTTGTATACATTTGTCAAAACTGTACTCTTAAGGTTTTGCATTTTACTGTATATAAATTATACCTAAATATTAAAAGTAAATGCACGTTCCCAGGGGCCACCCTAGAGAGTCTGATGAGAGTGGCTTTTATACTTTTTTTATGATAACCACTATAAGAAAAAGGTTTCTACGTTGTGCCCAGTACACTCATATACAAACACAAGTTTCAAGAAAGAAGACTTACCTTTACCATTTGCCATGCACTCTCATATTTTCTATTCTCTTCTATCCTATCTTATTTTATTCTATCCTTTTCATTTAAAAATATGCCAGTGAAACCCACCAAGCTGATCCATAAGTGTCAAAACCCACATTTTGGAAAACACTGCATAGAATCAATGATTTTCATGATGGGTGTTGTAGGAGGATGTGTAGGGGCTATTGAGAGGAAAACACCAAGTATCTTTATTTTTAAGAGGCACCCAGATTGTGCTGATGCAGATTTGTTGAGAAATATTGTCTGCTGAGCCTCCTAGGAGAAGGCACAGGAGCTCCATTTGCTTCCTAAGAGGAAAAAAAGATGGCGCTGGGGGAGGGGGCAGATCTTTGAAGAAGTGGGGGCACTGGCCTGGCAACCTGGAGGAAAGAGGCACTCATAGAGGAAAGGAAGACTGTGGCTCGTAGGGGGCCATCCTGGATTGACTCCTTACTAGGGCCGTGACACTGACTTGCTGCCACACTGTGGAAACGGGGGACTTAACCTTGGCCTCACTTTCCTTCTTGGAACCAGAAGATGTCAGCCCTCCTCTTGGTGTCCCTAATGCAAAAGAGGACACAGGGACAATCAAAAGTGGATGGATGGTGGTGGTGGCGACTCTGAAGTGGAGCTGAAAATACTGGCATTGCTGCGGGAGGACAGGGTGGTCTGATGTCCTGCTCTGTGGCCTGCACTTGGGTGGGTGCAGGAAGCACCAGGCAGCTCTGCGCTAAATCTCCAATATCAATCGGCATGTCTCCTAAGACCTAACCTCAGGAAAATATGGGATTGGTTTTCATCGAGAAAGTTTAAGAAAACTATCTGTTCAGAGGTTTCTTGATTCTGTATGTGGAGATGGCTGAGAAAGGCTGGTCTGGAGAAATGATTCACTGGACTGGGAGATGGAACAACTGGATTCTCTTTATAAATATCCCACAGATTAGCTGAGGCAATTCAGTCAAGTTGTCTCTTGGTGCCAGTTTTACCCATAAATTGATTCTCAAGGAGTAATATGTTAGATGGAGTATTCCTGTGATGGATTCCTAGCAAGTAATGTGTTAGTTAGATGGAGTATAAACACTTGGAGTATCACTAACCTATAGGAAATAAACAAGCGTTTTCCTTATCAGGAGTCAGAGAAGATGTGCATTGAAATTGTCTCCCTGGCCTTCAACCCCGAGGCTGAAGTGATGTGTGATGAGAACGTAAAACAGGTGTACGTGGAGTACAGGTTCTATGATCTGCCCTTGTCAGAGACAGAGACCCCAGTGTCCCTGAGGAAGCCGAGGGCGGGAGAGGAGATCCACTTCCACTTCAGCAAGGGTGAGGCGCCCCTTGTGGCTCGCGGGGAGAGGCGGTGGACAAACGTTGAAACTGAGGGGTTAGACTTCTCTGGACTTCTGATGGGGCGGATCCCACCGTTTTATTTTTTTATTTATCAAAGTACTATATGCATATGGTTTTAAAATAGGCCTTAAAAGATTTTTAATTAAAATTAAGCACCACCTTTTTCTCCACAATTCATGCCCCTTTGCCCCTCCCCACCCCCCCTCAGTCCACCATACCACTTTTCACTTTTTGTCCTATTTCTTCTGTTTTTTAGCTCCAAGTTTCTGAGAAATGTTTCTATTGGAGTTTCCTGATTCATCAATTTTATAATTTTATTTATTTTTTTCCCCCAAAGCCCCAGTATATAGTTGTATGTCATAGCTGCACATCCTTCTAGTTGCTGTATGTGGGACACAGCCTCAGCATGGCCGGAGAAGCGGTGCGTCGGTGCGCTCCCGGGATCCAAACCCGGGTCGCCAGCAGCGGAGCGCACGCACTTAACCGCTAAGCCACGGGGCCAGCCCTGATTCATCAATTTTAGACATTATCTACTGACTTCATATGTTGGCACATAAAACTTCTCTCTCACACCACACCCCTGCCCCCTTCCTCCCATGTAGTTGGATCATAATTTTTATTTAATCCAATCTTAATTGTTTCTGTTATTATGGATACGTAAATATGAGTTCTTGTAAAGCCAAGTAGTACGCATGATTATATTTCCTTTCTTCTTTATTATTTTGCTTCAATTTTTTATTTGCTTTATTTTCATTATACCTATGGTAATTCTTTTCACATCCTCCAATAGCCTTTCCATATGTTCAAATAAACCTATCAACTAATTTATCTATTTTTTTCCTGAAGACCTCTCTTCATCCTCTTGTCCCTCTCTAGACGACTGTTCAGCTATTATCTCCCTGCTGTGTGGAGAATTTTTTTTTTTTTTAAATTTTATTTATTTTATTTTCTTCCCCCAAAGCCCCAGTAGATAGTTGTATGTCATAGCTGCACATCCTTCCAGTTGCTGTACGTGGGACGCGGCCTCAGCATGGCCGGAGAAGCAGTGCGTCGGTGCGCGCCTGGGATCCGAACCTGGGCCGCCAGCAGCAGAGCACGCGCACTTAACCACTAAGCCATGGGGCCGGCCCATGTGTGGAGAATTTAATTCTCTCCTATACTGGATTTCATGCCTCCTGGGTCCTGTGTCATCCTCTTTCTGATTTATTTTCTTATTTTAATGGATCATATTTTCCAGTAGCTTTTAAAGAAAGAGTACATTGGAAGTAAATATTTTGAGACAGTCATGCATGAAATGTCTTTATTCTACCCGTATACTCCGTTGATAATTAGACCAAGTATTGAAATCTATGTTGAAAACATTTTTGTTCAGAATTTCAAAGCAGTTGGTCCGTGGTCTTCTAGATTTAGGCCAGGAGTCTAACCTTTGTATGAAAACTACCCTGACCTCCCCGGAAGACTTCAACATTTTCTCTTTATCTCTGATGTTCTTAAATTTCAGAATAATGTGCATATTTTTCTTTAATTGTTCTGGCCATTCAGTGGGCTCTTTCAATCTGGAAGCTTATGGCTTTTGGCTTTGATAATTTTGTTCCCAACATTTTCCTATTTTTTTGAGTGGGATTTTGGATCTTCCAAATTTATCTCTGATTTTATTATTTTTCTCCTATAATTCTACCTCTGTTTTTTCTCTCTATTTTTTGGGAGATTTTCTGAATTTTATCTTCCAGTCATGGACTGAATATTTATTTTAAATTTCTAAGAGTTGTTTCTTGCTCTATTTCTGTTTTTTCTTTTTTAAAGTATATCCTGTCCTTACATCAAACGAGATAGAAGTTTATTTCTCACTTGTGTTGAACGAGTTCAGAAATGGGCAGTCCAGGGCTGAGGCTACCTGATACCATCAGGGATCCACAGTCCTGTCTTGCCTTTTCATCGTCCTATTGCCTATCTTCCATCCTTTTGGTCACCCATGGTCCTTAATGGATGCTGGGGAAAGGAAGAATGCCTCCTAGCTGAGCCTGTTAAGCAGGTTTCATACAACACAATGGCCAGAACTTAATTACGTGACCAAATAGCTAAAACAGAGGCTGGAAAACAGGCTAATTTATTTGAGGCTGTAACATTCCCATATAGAAATGAAGAGGAAGTGGGGCATGGATGTTGAGACAGGCACCCTGAGTCGAACCTGCTGCAGAACCCAAATCTCTAGGTGGCCTTTTATATCAGGGGTCGACAAATATTTTCTTAAAGAGCCACATAATAAAGATTATAGGCTTTGTGAGCCAAACACTTTGTCACGACTACAGTATTCAACTCTATCATTGTAGCTGGAAAGCAGCCATAGATGATATGTAACAAATGGGCGTGGCTGTGTTCAATCAAACTTTATTTACGAAAACAGGTGGCCAGCCCACGGGCCCTGGTTTGCCAACCTCTGCTTTCTATCACTGTTTTACATATACCACTTATGAACGCCTTGGTGCCCAAATAGCAACAGTGTATTATTCTTTGCTTTTTTTTCCTTTTACCCTTAATACAGTGATAGACCTGGACCCACTGGAGCAAAAAGGCCGAAGGCAATTTCTCTTTGCCATGCTGAACAGACAAGAGCCTGAGCAAGGACGGTAAGGATCTGCTTTCCACTTGGAAAGAAAGGAGATAGTCACACAGGAATTCAGAAGTTCGAGTTTGGTTTTGTGCTGATGCTGAATATTTTAAAATTTCTTTCATATTAATTTACTCAATGCATTTCTCATCTACTTGAGTCTCATTTATATTTGTGACTGACTATGTGATAAATTATATAATTTCATAGGTTTAGTTCACTTCTCGCCCATGTCAGCCCCTGAGAAGTGCTTTTTTGGTGGCAGTAATTTACTTGAATCCTGACAGTGCCCTATATGGAATGGACAAAACACTTTGACGTTCTAAGATAATTTGATTCATTTCTCACAAATGCAATACCATTGCTAGCTTACCTAATATTATGCCTTTATAATATTAATTTTATATGTAGACTTTTAAACCTATTTCTCTACAGGAATACTTTGACTTTGAAATAACTGAAGTAAATTCTAGGTCTACTATAAGTTTTAGGAAAGCCAATTGTCCTTATTATTCCTTTAATCCGAGGAGGCCTCCTTTTAGAGGTTCCAGATGAAGTGCACGTGACATACTTATACTAAAAAAATTATTTGTTGTTTAGCTGAAATTTGAAATTCAAATTTAAGCAGGAATCTGTTTGGAGTTTTTTCTTTGGAAAAATCTGGCAACCGTATCTCCTTTTCGTGTGTGGCTAAGAAATAATATAGGGCTGGTGTTTTAATCCATTATTTTTCTTAAAGCCCAATAAATTTCTTTAATTTGCATTTACTTCATCTCCACTTAGTTAGAAAGGATGAAAAAGGAGCCAGCTAAAATAAACAGTGACTCTGACCTCAGTGTCACTGTGGACTTAAGCAGATATAAACTTACTGGTCACTTTTGGAAATGGAAAATGATTTGTTGTTCCTTTCTGCATTAATGTTAAATTTAGCTTTTTCTTTTCTTTTTTTCTCTCACCAGTCCCAGAACTCTCTCTTCTTTTTTTCTTGTACAGTGGTAACCTTTTTCTTTTCTTTTCTTTTTGTAACCTTTTACTCAACTTTAGATTTCCATAGATTTTTACCTTTGACTTTCTTTTTGCGAGAATGGTATGGAGGACAGAACATTGGCTTTGTAATCAGACAGACCTGGTTTGGAATCCTGACTCTTCCACAACAGGCTCTATGATCTTTGAGATATTATTTAACTTGAAGGCTTCTGTGAGGATAAAGTTGAAATAACACACTTCACCTAAAGCACTTGGTATTGTGCCCAGCAAGCTAGTGATGCTAGTTACCATCCCTTTCCCTGGAAAATTGAGGTGGGAAGTCTGCATTATCCCTTTGCATTGTTGAAGTTCTCAGTAATGATACAGAAACATAATCACACGTGAATATTGCTTAATGAGCTAAGGATGTATGCCATTCAGAATTTCTTCTTTTCAGCTTAATTGTGTTTAGCTGTGATTTTAAGAACTTGATTATTTTGTCCTATTCTTGTTCCCTTAGCACTATTAGCCACGAATATTTACTTTTAAAAAATTAATAGGAATATGAAATGTCCAGAATAGGTAAATCCAGAGAGACAGAAAGTAAACTGGTCGCCAGGAGCTGAGGGAGAGGAGAATAGGGAGTGACTGTTTAATGGGTATAGGATTTCTTTTTGGGGTGATGAATATGATTTGGAATTAGATGGTGGTGATGATGGCTGCACAACATTGTGGTTATATTAAAAAACACAGCATCGTACACTTTAAGATGGTTAAAATAGTGAATTTATGTTATGTGAATTTTATCTCAAAAAATTTAATAGCTACCTGTTTCTGGAATTCAATATCATTCTTTGCTAAGCTAAGTCAAGATCACAATAATTGCTGTTGACTGCTCACTGCTTGTGAGGCACTCCTCTGTGTCTTTTACAGCATCGTCTTTCAAGACTTACTACAACTCTCAAGAATACACTTTTTATATTTGTTTTGCAATTCTCTGTTGCTTCTGTTTCCTTTATTCTGCTCAGGCTTGGTACCCAACTTTTATTTTCTTTAGAAATTTAAAAGCTTTTATTCTAACTTCTCCTGTAATCTTAGTTTTAATGCAACAGCTTGGTTTTGTGTCCATATCAAATCTCTCGTCAAAATTGTAAACCATCTTACAAGGAATTATATCTCAACAGTGTTGAGACTACTTGACCAGCTATGTTATCTCGAGTCTTAGTTGCCTCTTGTCAAGGCCTGTTGTTACTTTATTCTGATTCCTCGCTCTTTTGCTGTTGTAGTCTTGTAAATGGAGGTGAGGGAAAAGTGATTCAGAGAAGACATTGTATAATTTATGATTACTTTTATCTTTATTATTTATTTATTTTTTTTGGTTGTTCAGATTGTTCTAGCTTTTTTTGTGTGTGTGTGAGGAAGATCAGCCCTGAGCTAACATCTGCCAATCCTCCTCTTTCTGCTGAGGAAGACCGGCTATGATCTAACATCTATTGCCAATCCTCCTCCTTCCCCCCACCAAAGCCCCAGCAGATAGTTGTATGTCACAGTTGCACATCCTTCTAGTTGCTGTATGTGGGACGCGCGGCCCCAGCATGGCCAAAGAAGCGGTGCGTTGGTGCACACCCGGGATCCGAACCCGGGCCGCCAGTAGCGGAGCGCGCACTTAACCGCTAAGCCATGGGGCCGGCCCCTCTTTATTTTATTTTTAAAGCCTAAGGGTATCAGCAGTGCTGAGTTAAATGGAGTTTTTGTTTCCTTTAGTTTAAAGTTTACCGTGGTAAGTGATCCTATCGATGAGAAGAAAGAATGTCAAGAAGTAGGATACGCATATCTGGAGCTGTGGCAGATCATGGAATCAGGAAGAGACATTCTAGAGCAAGAGCTAGACAGTGAGTAATCAATTTTTGTGCTTCTCTGTTCCGCTTATTTCTAAGGAAATCGTCCTAATACTGAATGCTTTTCCTGTTTTACGTTCAGTACATAATTACCACTGCAGACCTGATGAGACATAAACTGGACTGAAATCCCTGCAGCTATACTTATTTCTAGATCAAGCATGACAGTAATCAGTTGTATATTTTAGCCCACATACTTCATGACAACTAGAATCTACTATGAATCTCCAATGTTTGAGATAGGGAATTTTTAAGAAGACAAGTTCTTTTAATTTCAATCAAATTTAAACATCAGAATTTCTGACCTCTCTTAAGCATGCAAGGTTTATAAAGGTAGCTAATTCCCCTCCTCTTTTAATGCATTATCATGCACCCAGTCTCTTAAATAGACAGCAGCTCTCCTCTTCCCTCACATCCATTGGTTACCAAGTCTTATCCATTTAGAAGTGTCTTGACTACATCCCCACAACTGTAATTGTTTTCTAAACTGGTCTCCCTGCCACTGGTTTCTTCCACCTCATTTCTATGTACCACAGTAAGTGTTGCTATACAATAAACTTGATCACCACATTCTTCTTAAATCTGTTTACAGACTGTTTGCTATAGACCAGCATGTTTTAAAAATATTTGCATTTGAATGGCTTTAGGTAGGGCTGCTCTGTCCAGTCCTCACTGCTCCCTATTACCTTACACACCCGGGGCTGCACACATGTACACTATCTGCCGGCTGTAGTAGGCACTTAAGATTAATCCATTAGACCAATGGTTTTCAAACTTCCAGTCATGACCCATTATTAGATGGTGAAATTCAATTAAAGTCACAACCAGAATTTGAAGAAACCAAACAAACCAAAACTGTAGAAAATATCAGAGTACATTGCACATAAATATTTTGTGGAACTTGTCTTATGTACATGTTTATTGTGTCATGATGTATAATTGTTTTTACTGATCATTATAAAAAAATTTTGAGGAATAGACTCTTCAGGCCAAGCGTTACAAAGTTTAAACTTTAGCTGGTAGACAAGATTCTTCTGGGGCCGGCCCCGTGGCTTAGCGGTTCAGTGCACGCACTCCGCTACTGGTGGCCTGGGTTCGGATCCCAGGCGCGCACCGACGCACCGCTTCTCTGGCCATGGTGAGGCGGCATCCCACATACAGCAACTAGAAGGATGTGCAACTATGACATACAACTATCTACTGGGGCTTTGGGGGGAAAAGAAAAAAAGGAGGAGGATTGGCAATAGATGTTAGCTCAGGGCTGATCTTCCTCACACACACACAAAAAAAGATTCTTCATTATATTCCTCTAGTACCTTTCCAACTGTGGCAGTGGGCAAGTTATTTAACCTTTCTGGGCCTTTTTCCTCAACTATAAAATGTGAATAGCAGTTCCTATGCCATAGCATTGTCCTGGTGCTAAGGGAGTGCTTAGGTGAAGGATTAGGGGAAGATTAAGTCAAGTGCTTAGGACTGTGCTTGGCGCAAAGCAAGTGCCATCTGTTAGCTATTTTCCAACTCTCACTCCCAATTTCTACTCCTGTCTGCATTCCCTAAACATGCCGCTCTTCCCGACCTCCAGTGCCCTTTGTGCGTAAGGAAAATCCCTTTAAGCCTTATTCTAATGACCTCAAAATCCCTTAAGCCAATGAATGTTTCTTGATTTTTGATATTTTAATCATCAACAGAAAAATTTGTAGTTATTTCCTTATTATGATCTCCCTCCCTGTTGATCTCTCTGATTTTTTTTTTTTTTTTGTGAGGAAGATCAGCCCTGTGCTAACATCTGCCAATCCTCCTCTCTTTTTGCTGAGGAAGACTGGCCGTGGGCTAACATCCATGCCCATCTTCCTCCACTTTATATGGGACACCACCATGGCATGGCTTGCCAAGCGGTGCGTTGGTGTGTGCCTGGGATCCGAACCGGCGAACCCTGGGCCGCTGCAGCGGAGC